AGCCCAACTAGCAAACGACTTCATAACTACCATCGTGGCGAGCCCTTTTCAGTCGGTGAGCCGCCCTTGCCCTTGTAGTCGGTAATCCAGGACACCCCGCCCGCGCCTTTTTCTTTCTCTCCTGTCTGTGGTCAATTCTTGGATTTTTTCTTCGCGAAGCAAAATTTTCGATTCTAAGTGTGAGATCTGCGAAATTCAAGCCTTTCTTTCTTCAGTTCAAGGTCTGATTTCTCACTCCTCACTTTCTCTAGCGTTAGGGTTCTTACTAAAATTATACTTCTTTTCGAAATCTTTACTCCTCGTTCATTAGTGGATTTATTGTGCTGCGCTCTGTGCAGATCTAGCCGGATCTTGAAGATTACTCTGTGATTCGAGGCTTTATTCCCCCAAATCTGCTTTAGGTCCCTAGGTTCTGTATTCTTGAAGATTTCTTGTTGTCTGTGACGGAGATCGGTTTGAAATCTATTTTAGATTTGAACGCTTAAGCGTCTTTTTGCAGATCTGGGGTTGATTGCATTTTCCGCCTTGGTGTTTGGATTTGTTTGTCGGAAATGTCAATACTACAGAAAGGCGATTCGGTTCAAATCAGGGAGGTTTGGAAGGACAATCTTGATGAAGAGTTTGCGTTGATCCGTGAAATTGTTGACGAATATAATTACATCGCCATGGACACGGAGTTCCCCGGTGTGGTTCTTCGCCCGTTGGGTAATTTTAAAAACATCAATGAATATAACTATCAAACACTGAAGGACAACGTTGATATGTTGAAGTTGATCCAACTGGGGCTCACCTTCTCCGATGAGCACGGAAATCTTCCTACTTGCGGCACTGACAAATGTTGCATTTGGCAATTTAACTTTCGCGAGTTTAACGTTAGCGAAGACATCTTTGCGAGTGATTCAATTGAACTACTGCGCCAATGTGGAATTGATTTTAAGAAGAACAATGAGAAGGGCATTGACGTGAACCGATTTGGGGAGCTTCTGATGTCTTCAGGGGTGGTGTTGAACGATCAAGTCCGTTGGGTCACATTTCACAGCGGGTACGATTTTGGTTACCTCCTTAAGTTATTGACCTGCCGCAGCTTGCCTGATACACAATCGGGATTCTTTACTTTGATCAACACGTACTTCCCTACGTTGTATGATATTAAGCATCTGATGAAGTTCTGCAACAACCTCCACGGAGGATTGAACAAACTCGCAGAATTGTTGGAAGTGGAGAGGATTGGTGCTTGCCATCAAGCCGGGTCCGATAGCTTACTCACGTCTTGTACATTTAGGAAGTTAAGGGATGTGTTCTTCAATGGCTCCACAGAGAAGTATTCTGGGGTCTTGTACGGGTTAGGTGTCGAAAGTGGACAGGCTAATTGAAACAAATATAATTGGTTGTAGAGTAACGAGTGTGAGCTTTTTGCTTGTGTACACCCCTGCCAAAAAGTCGTCGTTTTCTTGTAACCTTTCGTCTTTGCTTGATCTGCCACTGAAACCTTGGTGGTTTTGTAGCTTGAGTTCTTTGTAAATCGCTTCAGTTAGTGTTTCAATAATAACTTATGATAATTCCTTAGGATTGCAGCCATTTTTCGTGATCACGCTGTGTGTATCGCGCCTGGTGCTTGGTTTGAGGACTCTGATAATCGAGCTCCGTCATATCATTTTGAGCAAACCTATATTACAAACTCGCAGAAACAGTGCATGAGTTAGGATTGTATGCTGCATAGACTACGGAAGACAGATATCGGCCATATAAAGAACTGCGTTCTGAGGGAGAAGATCAAAGCATCTCCATGCAGGATACATCATTGCACCCTCCCTATTCACAAATGAATTTAGTTTCATTTGTAGAGAGAATAACAGTTAAAAAAACTGCTCATACAAGGGCATATATCATAACTAGATACGAAACACCTTGCTTGACTTTCTTTCTTGCATAATTAGAAAAACGATTCAGTGTTTTTTGATTCGGTGCTTGCTTGTTAGGTTTAATTTCAATTTTGATATTAAAAAAATATTATCAAGCCACCTCCATTAATTTATGTCAGCCGCAGTTAGTCCTTGATTTAACGATATTAAGAATCTTTTACGCGAATAAATAAAGTGTAAAACTTCATTTTTGAAAATAACACCGATCTAGTATTATGAGATGTGAATAACATGAGATCAAGGGGGTGTTTGGAACATCCTATAATGATTTTTTAGAAGCATTTTTTCATAAATCGAGATAAATTCCTCTACATATTTATTTTGTATATCGTAAAAGCACTTCTGAAACCATAATTTTGTTCTTACTCAAACACCCCGTAAAATTGATACGGGTTCCTCCAACTCCAACCACGTGGGAAGGAATGGTGACATCTTGCAAGCCGCAACGGTGATCCCTACTGTAGTTTCTTTTCTATTTCAAAAAAAAATAACATGTGATTGTGAATGAAGTTTCCGAGTGTTCCCCAAAAAAAAAAAAATTGAAAAAAGCACTTTGCGGTTTATCGATGGATGTTAATGAATGGAGCCCCTTTCTACTGCACCCCTGGTTTTTCCTTCTGTGATTTATTGTTATATAGTTTCTGTTCAGAAATTAAAAAAATAAAAAGAATCGCAATATGATGCTGTTTTTGCTTTTCAAACTCGACATTGGATCTTTTTGATGTTACTGGCCATGTAACAAAAACAAAGCGTACTATACGACATTAAAATTCGCCAATCCAATTCAAAAGTTTCATGAATGATGATTTGGCTCAACGAAAATTCTGTCCCAAGATACAGGTCGTGGTAAAAGGTTGTCAAACGTAAGATTATTAATTGATTTGACTAATTTTATGGGCTTCATGAAATTAAATTTGAAAAGCGACACCGCGAGATAAAGGACTAGCCATGGAGTTTGGACATGTTTATGTGCCAGTTTGGAGCCATGTTTGAGTGGCTTTTAAGTGACTTTTGGCTTTTTAATATGTTTGAGTGTGTTTGAAAGAGTTTACAAAATTAAGAGCTTATGCTAAAATAACATATTTAAGTCAAAAGCTAAAAATTGTAGCTTATAGAGTTAGAAAAATGAAGAGAGAAAGACAAAGTATGGGTCCTGTTTTTTTACTCAAACAAATTTATTTTTACTCAATTATAATCGAAATAATCTTTTATCAATTTTATTTTTGCAAACTAACTTTTTAAACTCCAATTCAAATACAATTCATCTTATCTAATTTAATTTTTACCTAATCTTACTTTTCTAAAAGTCAGATTAAAAATAAATTGCTTTTTCTACTGCCAATTCAAATGTACCTTATAAGTTAAACTTGCAAAGTGGCTCCTTGGCTGCATACCTATGCTTTGGGACTGTACTTTGCTCCTTTATATATATATATATATATATATATATATGTGTATGTATATGTATATATATGTATGTATAATATGGTAGTATATTTTTTAAAATATATTTGTTAAAATTTTATTTCATTTTATACTTGTTTTTAAAAGTTTGATTACGCAGTATTTATACACATTTCTTTATTTTTTTTAATTAATTATAAAGTGAATGAAGGATGAGCTTACAAATCCCCAAAAAAAAAAAAATCCAAAGCCGGGAGGAGTCGAATTCCAAGAGATATAACCGATTACATGTAATCCTCATGCATTCCTGTATTTCCGTTGTTTGGTTTGTCCAATGTAATGGCCATTACATAATAGCATCATGATTACCTTAATAATTGTGATAAGAATTACATTAAAAGGCCCACGTAATCCTCATTTCCACATGCTGTAGTCTGCTATTTTCTCATATGCCCTTCACCCTTCTCAAGTTTTCACTATCTTCTTCCTCCTCATCTTAAACCAACTTTGGCAACGTCTTTCCCACAGTACTCCAGAGAATGTCTTGCCCGACACCCCACCTCCACCTTAATCCAAATAAACAATCTGGAGTGCCATCCAACACCATGGAACACTTTGTCTAGATCAACCAAGATTAAAAGGTTATTTTTGTCTTTTTTCACTTTAGTAAATATTAAAAAAAGAAGAAGTATATTACACCATTCCTAATATTGTACCAAACAACCTGACAACGTTGTTCCTAACACACCCAACAATATCTCTACTCTGTAGATGCCATTCAAGGATATCTCCTTCCACATCTGCAATCTTCTACTTCCAGTAACATTAATGCCACATCTAATCCAACTATAAAAGTCAACTGAGAACAACTGTTTATATTTCAAGCCTCTTCTATTCACACATGGTCACCTTGTTTATATGCTTTTTCTGATGTGCCTTTGAATACAAACCTAAAGAATGTAAATACTAATCCGAGGATCAGTTTTACAGAACTCACAAATGGACGAGGCGTGCATGTCATGCCTTTTGTGAGTTTCATTTGCCAAAAACTCCCTCCTTCAGTGACCATGCTGGCTAATTAGCCAGACATTATTTATCCATCTCCCTCTCTTCTCCAACTAAGAAAATCCAAGCTAACTCATGAAAGCACGTTCACGCGAGCCCATACAAAATTCTCCCAGCACACATTTTGAACAATCTTATCACTATTCCAAACAATTAGACATATCAGCTTCAATACCAACGTAGATTGTCAAGCTCGTCCCTCCTGATATCTGTATCTGCATTAAGTATCCCATTCATTAGAAGACATTGCAAATATTGCTACTTCCTCACTTTTCTCCCAACACACATTTTCCTTAATAAGATAATGCTCTGATAACAGACAATTCAATCTAGCATAATTTTTATATTGTAGTATATTAATAATAACTAATAATTACGTTGTATAAAAATTATATTAAGCTATATTATCCACAAGCGGTCAACAAAAAATATAATTTATTCTGCATTTTACCAAATAATACACAGGTTCCAACTTGTTTTAAACAAAATTGTGCACTTTTTTTCTTTGCTGACTATAGATTTTAATTTATACATGACACCACTATATATATATATATATTGATGATGTGGCCACTAAATTGGTTTTTGGGGGTAAAGTTAGCGTCTGCTTATTTCTTCCCCAACCGCCAATTTTTAATTTGATATTGTCCCTATCCCGGCGCATTCCGGGAACTCTGCCGCCAAGATCCGGCGGCGACTGGCAATTTTCGCACACTGCGGTACGCGCCACTCTAAATTTTAAGTTTACTTCAGTTTGACGACTAATGCTACTCTAAACAGCTGACCAGCTTTCAAATTTCTGTCTTGGCCTTTCTGATAATGTTGGACGAGTATTCGATAATTTAGGGTTCCTGGCATGGTTGTTAATTGTTAACAATTATAAAGTCTTCTTGCTGACTTCAAATTTTGTTTCCTCTTGCAGATCATGAGCAGTCTGGTCGAGAGGCTTCGAGCAAGAACAGATCGCAAGCCCATCTACAGCATTGATGAATCAGACGATGAAGCTGATATTTTGCCCGGGAAACACGAGCCAACTCAGGAAAAGTTTGAGAGGATAGTCAGAAGTGATGCGGTATATTTATTGGGTCTTTCCTTTTCATTTCAATGCTTTTCATTTAAGTCAGATCATTTTAATTTGTTCACTTCTATCTAAAATGTTGTTTATTTAGAAATATTGCAGTGCTTAGTGGGTGACTGAAAATCTACATTAGTTCAGAGAAATACTTTTACTTCCCTATTTCATGTTGTTCATGCACAATAAGATATTCAGCACCACTTGAGATGCCATTGATTAGAGATATGAATCTTGACATTACTTCGATCCTTGAATCATATGGTAGAGGATAACTGGATAAGTCCTCTAAAATTTGTTTGTGGGTCCTTCCCTTGCAACTTGGGATAGAATACTGCTGATGCTAAAGACATAATATCATATATTTTTGCATTGAAATGTAGGCTTTACATGTTAAGAAACTAGATGGAGGATTATTATTATTTTTTTAATTTTTAAGCACATACTAGGAATATTATATTCGTTGTTGCTCATTCAATCATTCCTGCATATTCTTCTAATAGCTTGAGATATTGAGATGAAATGGTTATTGACCGGATATCAGATCCTTCCTAACCAATCGATCAGTAGTTTGATTCTCTCCTATTCCCCTTATTGAATTATTCTTCAGCATTAGATACGGTAAGGCTTAGTCCACACTTTAAGCTGAAAGAACATTTGGGTGAAGCTTACGTGTTAGGGTTGATGATAAAATCATTTATGAGCCTCTTCAATAATTTTTTGAGGGTGAATCGGCCCTTGTCAGTCCTCATAAAATTTAACAGTTGAAACACATTACCATTTCTTTCATGGAGAAACTTTTGGTGATTTTCATTGCTTATAGTATCTTTTTTTTCTTCATTTTGGTGTTCTTGGTTTATATTGTAAATGTAACTTTTCCCACCTTGTTTTGATGTTTATGTCTCATAACTACAGAAAGAAAATAGTTGTCAAGCTTGTGGAGAAAATGGAGATATTTTAAACTGTGAAACATGCAATTATGCCTATCATCCTAGGTGTTTACTTCCACCACTTAGAGCTCCTGCTCCAGACAATTGGAGGTGCCCTGAATGTGTAAGCTTATTGCTTGTACCCATACCGGCAGTATGCATAATATCTGTCTACTTTGGTGGAAGCCTAGAATTATGATGCTTGTTTTTGTGCAGGTTAGCCCACTTAATGATATTGATAAGATATTAGACTGTGAGATGCGCCCTACTGTAGCTGATGACAGTGATGCCACAAAACTGGGGTCAAAACAAATTTTTGTCAAACAATATCTTGTTAAGTGGAAGGGGCTATCATATCTCCATTGCACATGGTAAATTTGTTGGACTCATCTCCTTCAAGTCTAAGATAGTGTCTTTGCTTTGGCATTTTGGAAATCTTCTGAAGTCCTCTAATGCCTGCTATATTTTGTGTCCCATTTCGCACTCCCAGTCTATTTATTTTCTTATTACTCCTAGTATGAGTTTAATTATATTTCTATTTTGCTTAAGAAGCCTGATTTTGAAAGGCGTTTTATTTGCTCTGAATCTGTGTATCATTTGGGTACTGTATATTTACTAGTGACAGTTCTTTTTAACTTAGGGTGCCAGAAAAGGAGTTTCTGAAAGCCTTCAAATTACATCCTCGCCTAAAGACGAAAGTAAATAACTTCCATCGTCAAATGTCATCAGTTAATACTTCTGATGAAGACTATGTTGCCATTCGACCTGACTGGACAACTATTGATCGGATTATTGCTTGCAGGTTCAATTTTTTGAAGTTCTATCTTCACCGTTCTGCATATGCAAAATAATATGAGACGGTTCTGTTTGTAATTTATGTTTCTTCTCCTCTACTGCATCAATATTTTTCTTATTTGTCATTCAGCCAATGGTTTTCTTATTTGTCATCCAGCCTTTCTCCCCTCCCTCCTTGTTCCTCAAAAAAGTTGATACAAGCCTGTTGAAGTTACCATTTGTTACGTGAGATTCATGAGAGAATGGTCATGCTGCACATTGTAACTTGTAAAATGCTTAATCTGACGGTTTTGAATGTTTTCCAAATTATGCATTAAAGTTGTTTTGGTAGTATTTAGGTTGTTATAATGCTTATGATTTGATGTGATTTCTTCTTTAACAAAGTTACTCAATGCTTATGTTTTCATCAAAGGTTCTATTTAAATGTTTCAGGGGTGACGATGATAAGGAATATCTTGTGAAATGGAGAGAGCTTTCATATGATGAATGCTATTGGGAGTTTGAGTCTGATATTTCTGAGTTTCAGGCAGAAATTGAAAGATTCAATAGATTTCAGTCTAGGTCTAGGAAACTCGTTTATTCTAATAAGCAGAAAGGCAATGTTAAGGATGGCGCAGAACTGATGAAGCATCAGAAAGAATTTCATCAGTATGAGCATAGCCCTGAATTTCTTTCAGGGGGTATGTTACATGACAAACCTCTCATGATAATGATGTGCTTTATAATTATTTTTGCATATTTGTTGTGCGGTGATCACATGATTTCCTTTTTCATATGTATAAAGGTACCCTACATCCATATCAACTTGAAGGCTTAAACTTTTTACGTTTCTCGTGGTCTAAGCAAACTCATGTTATACTTGCTGATGAAATGGGACTTGGTACGCAGTTTTCGTTTCCCTTTTGTCCACCTTTTGTCTATTTTCTCCTTTTATTACTTGTCTCACCTTCCCATTAAATTGGAGTTTTCAGCAGGATTTGATATTGCACTTTGATGGCTTAAATTTTTGACTGCAGGCAAAACCATACAAAGTATTGCTTTCTTGGCATCTCTTTTTGAAGAAAATGTTTCTCCACACTTGGTGGTTGCTCCACTTTCAACATTGCGAAACTGGGAACGTGAATTTGCAACTTGGGCACCACAAATGAATGTTGTATGTATATGGAATCTGAAAGCTATATTATCACAGAAAATCATTCTTTTCTTTTGATTGTATGCTTGTTTCTGTAGGTTATGTATGTTGGATCTTCCCAAGCCCGTGCCGTTATACGTGAGTATGAATTTTACTTTCCAAAGAGCCAGAAGAAGTTAAAGAAAAAGAAATCTGGTCAAATAGTCAGTGAAAGCAAGCAAGATAGGATCAAATTTGATGTCCTCTTGACATCATATGAGATGATCAACCTTGACACATCATCATTGAAACCTATAAAGTGGGAGTGCATGGTAATATTCTATTTGCCATTCTAATATTGGAACTGGAAAAATGAGTTTCCACCATGTTCTACCTTCTGATCTTATTTGTGTGTGTTTTCTACCTTATGCTAATGTCTTGATATCTGTATCTATCTATAGATAGTTGATGAAGGTCACCGTCTCAAAAATAAGGATTCAAAGTTATTTTCTTCACTGAAGCAATATTCTAGCCGACATCGTGTGCTTTTGACTGGCACTCCTCTGCAGGTTTACTTCAGATTTTGCCATTTCCCTATAACTTGTTTAGTGTACTATTATGTCCTAGTTTTCTAGCATCAATTAACTGACTCTTGTTTTGTCTTTTTGGGTTTGTTGGCAGGTGTTCCACTGGAAAATGTTCATGATTAATATTTATTTTTTGTGGGTTTTTGGATTGGGTCGTTTGGGTTTTAGTCTTTTAGATGGTTTCTGAACTTGGATTGGAAATCTTTTTCTTAAAAGTACATTTTAGTCTCGAGACTTTTTGGTGGCAAAAGATATTGCTATTATATGTTAGTAATTGTTCATGCAAATATGTTAGTTAGGGGAAATTTATTTTTCTAAAATTAATTTGGATGTGTTGTCCCCTTATATGATGATGGTCTTCAGTACTTGATTTATTTTATGTCTTAACCAGTTTAGAATGAAATTCTGTTGCAATTTTGTTGGTGAGTCTCTGTCATTTGATGCTGGTAACTTGTATTAACTTTCTTTATGTGTGTTTGTCTTTAGTTATAGATTGATTTAATAACATGAGTACTGCCCATAATATGCACTTCTAAATTTGTAATGATCCCATGAGTTAATATTTTGTAATTGTATGACTCAGCCTTTCATGTAATGTTTGTTCAGACAATGGATGCTGGTGATTGTGTACTCTTCATCCTGTATCCTTGTAATGGAGCATTAAATTGGCTATTTTACTTCTAATCAGCTTGTGTTGAAAGTATATTGAGCTGTTTCTTGAGTCAAACATTTAACTTTGGATTGATACTCAGTTAGCTACTCTACTTAATGAACACGTGTGGTTGGATGTTGAGTTATCTTTTGAAATTGACTTATGGCTGCTTTGCTCATACTGTTCACAACTAATCATGCTTAATAGTTACTGTGCATATATTGTATTAATGTCTTGAAAGTTGAAGCAACTTATGGTTGTCTGGTGTATTTCAGAACAACTTGGATGAACTTTTTATGCTCATGCACTTCCTTGATGCTGGGAAGGTTAGTATGATAATTTTACCATGAACAGAATGTGAGTTTTTGTTATTGAGTCAACACACGAATGTCAAGATTATCTCACAAACTTGCTATTTTGCTGCTGGTAGTTTGGAAGTTTAGAGGAATTTCAGGAAGAGTTCAAGGACATCAATCAAGAGGAGCAGATTTCAAGGCTTCACAAAATGTTGGCCCCCCATCTTCTTAGAAGTATACATCTTAAACTTATTGACATAGCTACGTTTCATTTGCTTGTCTGGATTACTTTTAATACTTGTATTGTTGTGATGGCTGGTAGAGATAGTTTTTTTAGTCTTTTAGAATGAAAATGCTTATCATTGTTGGTTTTTTGACGTAGCATGAGAGTCTTCATGATTCGTGACCATGATGGTAAGAGTTCTATCATTGCTATCATTATTCTCCAATGAAATGAATAATGCAGCACAAGATATATGGGGCAGACTTTGTCAAGGCTTCATGCCTAGATGGCTTTCACATTACTGGTTGGGTTAGGGATACTTAGAAAATTCTTTAACATTTCTTCTACTGACAACTTACTTTTTATGATTGTTGATTTCTTTACAGTTTGAGTTATTTCTTATGCTTTTCTGATTGGATTTTATATTACCTTTGCCTATCCACCTTGATTGATTTATGGTGAACCTAATTTTTCTATTGGTGGCATATGGTTGTTATATTGGTTTTATTTTTTGGAAAGAGGATTACTACTGGTTATAGGTTAAGAAATACTCAAACCAGAACCGGAAATACAAGAAAAGCTCAAAACAGTGCACATCAATAAAATCGCTCAAGAGCCTCATAGAGTGCAGGAGCTATCCAGTCTCTTTTCATATAAGGAGTTCCCCTTGAAAATACCCCATGTGCTTAGAGGGGAGCCACACACACCATTATTTATCATAAAAACAATTTATGAAGATGATGTGCACCTGGGGATCTGTGCATTCCTCTCGAACAAATCATAAACTGGACATTATGTTGATTTTTAGTTACTGGTCTTGTTTAGATTACTATAGATTCTGATGATCGGATGCAGAGTTATTAGTTTGGCATTGATGGACAATACTGAGGGATATCAAATGCTTCGCTTCATTGGTTTGCAGTTGAGCCATGGAGTTGGTTGTTTATTAATAAACTACATGTACTGCTGAAACGTATCTTAAGATATTTGAGGTTGATGCAGGGGTCAAGAAAGACGTCATGAAGGAATTACCTCCGAAAAAGGAACTTATTTTACGTGTTGAATTAAGCAGCGAACAGAAAGAGTATTATAAGGCAATTTTGACCCGTAATTATCAGATATTAACTCGTCGTGGTGGAGCTCAGGTATTTTCATGCTTTGATGTATTGAACCTTTGGGCATTCCATTCTTAATTTTATCTATATTAGAAATAGAAATGTGAAAAAAACAGTTTTAAGCTTATTATACTGTATTGATACTGTTATTGTTTTGATTATTTTAAATAGATTTCTCTTATCAATGTTGTTATGGAGTTGCGAAAGCTCTGTTGTCATCCTTACATGTTAGAAGGAGTTGAGCCAGATATTCAAGATGCAAAAGAATCTCACAAGTAAGCTCTTATGTTCATTCATCTCTGAGAGTGCCATGCCATTGTGGGAGTCTATTAGAAATCTGGGTGCTTTGCTTATGTAGTGATTTATATTGTACCTGTTCGTATGTGTTGCAGGGTATTGTTGTGTATAACTAACTTGGCATAATATGTGTCTTAAATTTCTTCCATTAATTACAGAAAGCTGCTGGAATCATCAGGGAAGTTGCAATTGTTAGACAAAATGATGGTGAAGCTTAAAGAGCAAGGGCATAGAGTCCTCATATATTCACAATTTCAGCGCATGCTGGACTTGCTTGAAGATTACTGTTCTTACAAGGTATCTGTGTGAGGCTATTCTGTTTAAGCTACTTTGCTTGTGATTTGTAAGAAGTTGCTACATGATATTCTTTCATTTTTCATTTTTCCTTTTATCAGAAGTGGCAGTATGAAAGGATAGACGGCAAGGTTGGTGGAGCTGAAAGACAAGTACGAATAGATCGGTTTAATGCCAAAAATTCTTCAAGATTTTGTTTTCTTCTTTCTACTAGAGCTGGGGGATTGGGGATAAACCTTGCAACAGCTGACACAGTTATTATATACGATAGGTGAATATTTAATGCTAGTAATTTTCCTTTTTTGTTCAAATAATATGGCTAAATGAAGAATTTTATTGAGAGAAGAAAGATGTGAAGGAGGGTTAAGGTACCCTCCCAAGAAATAAATTATACAGAACAAGAAAGCTCAAGTAAATTTAAACCTGAAAAAGTTCTGTGCAATTCCTCTGCATATCAAAAAGAGGCTCACTCTTGAAAAATCATTGACCAATAGCTGAATATCACATAGAACCTACAAACAAAATCCTTGTCTATTGGTCTGAATAAGACACCTATGAGTGGATTCAGAAAGCATGGTGGGTACTTGGATCAGAGTAGCCTTATTGCCATTTGACTGTGCATTGGGAACACTGTGACTTTCTGATTAGGCATGTAAAGTTGGGTGGTGCAAATATTTGCCTGGCATATTACAAACGATTTTGAAAATATGTTATCAAATTAATTTCTTGAGAATACTGAAAAGATTTCCAAGAAAGAAGCATGGAGTTCCTGTATGAGAGAACTTTTTTTCTGCTGCCAAATTTCTGTTTGCTGGAGAGGAAACTATTGTGAGTGATAGTTATAATCATGCTCTTTTACTTAAAACGAGGAACATCCTGTATGAAGCTCTATTGATTGGCTAGGGATGTTTTGGCTGCTATGAAAGGAGGTTCATGACTGTTCCAACGCTTGATTAAGTTTTTTCTATCAGAAAATCTGTTAACAGTCGATGCACATATGTGATATGTTGGTTTCATAATCTTTGTTAAGCAAGTGTAAGGAATGCCTGTATAGCGTGTCTTTTTTTGCAGCCCTATGATGATGGAAGGAAAATATTGTTTGTGATATTTGTCATCTAATGTGATTTAATATATCTATAATTCACTGATCAAATCGTTCATCTACAGTGATTGGAACCCGCATGCTGATCTACAAGCCATGGCTAGGGCTCATCGACTTGGACAAACTAATAAGGTTGGAGTTTATTTTTCAGTTAATTTGTAGATGTCTATCATTGTTGATGTTGCATATAACAATGGCTCTGGTTTTGTAGGTGATGATTTACAGGCTTGTAACACGGGGAAGCATTGAAGAAAGAATGATGCAGATGACGAAGAAGAAAATGGTGCTAGAACATCTTGTTGTTGGAAGGCTAAAATCTCAAAATATTAACCAGGTAATTAGTTCCTTCCTTCTTTCTTTCTTTTTTCCTTTTTCATCAAGGATGAGGCTAAGCTGATGCTAACAACTATCAGTACAATTGACAAAGCTACATTAATCAAGCATCCTTACCCTCTCTGGTTGCCCCCAAAAAAAAAAAAAAATTGTCCCAATTGTGAATACCTGTGTATTGATTAATTCAGGAATATATGACATCACGACGTTCAACACACTGATTTTTAAATCTTGATTAGGGCATGTGTTTTTTAAGTTTTGAATAATCCATTAGTCAGATTTAATTGAAAAAAGCATTTAAGAAGATGTGATGATAACTATTATTTTAATTGTTCTCAGGAGGAGTTGAATGATATTATAAGGTATGGCTCCAAGGAGTTATTTGCTGATGAGAACGATGAAGCAGGCAAATCACGCCAAATCCACTATGATGATGCTGCCATAGATAGGTATCATTTCACTTTTGTTCCTCAAACATCAAATTTTTAAAATATGTAGTATATTTCATCTTATACTTTTCTTATTGATAGACTGCTGGATCGGGAACAAGTTGGTGATGAAGAGGCTACAATGGATGATGACGAGGATGGATTTCTGAAGGCTTTTAAGGTTGACTCTCAAACAATTATGCATATACAATTTTTGTTCAGATTTTCCCCCTCCATTTTGGTTGGTGCTGAGTGGACATATACTTTACGAAGAAATATTTAATAGACATGTGAACAGACAAATGCTAATAAATTAAAAGGAGAGAAGGGCATCTGGTGGCATGGTTGTCAATCAGTCCTATGAAATAGAATGGATTGGGCGTGTATTCTAATATAGTGTGAATGACTATGGTGTCGTTTTTGCTGTCTTATTGTGAATATTTGCTTTAAATTATTTACATATGCTGCCAAAGCATTATGCTTGTAACAGCTACTCGCATTTGTCTAATGACTTTGTGGGGGTTGCCTTCTCACCTGCAGTTTTGAAGTTTTCACCTTAAAAAAACTACTCGCATTTATAGAGCTTCACAGTGAGCTCGTTTCTAGTACTGCCATTTAAATGTCAATTAGCCTGCAATGATTGTGAGGTTCTTGTGGATTTTCTTATTCTGCCTTCTCAACCTGAAAGAAGAAGTCCAACCACGAGCCTTTGCATAATGACTTGAATTGGTCCTTGACATTTTATTAGAGTCTTCTGTGAGCATTTAATGAAGTTTGACCCTTGCTGCCCTATATCGTAAACAACATACGATATTTGCACAATATGGATCGATTATGTTAATCTTGAAATGAATTTGACATTCGAAACTTCGTTGAAAGTTGATGGCACTACTTTTTATTTCGGAATCCTGGAGAAAGCTATATGAGTGGCCTTTGCCTAAGAATTCTTGTGGATGGAGTAATGTTAGCATTGATGAAATTTCCCCTATAAGCTATCATTTTTTTTTTTTGAGTTTCTCTTGTTCTCATTGTTTTTCATTGACTAATCAAATAATGATGTTTTAGGTGGCGAATTTCGAATATATTGATGAAGTCGAGGCTGCAGCCGAGGAGGCAGCGAAAAAGAGAGCTATGGAGAATGAATCCGCTGTGGCAAGCACAGAAAGAGCAAAATACTGGGAAGAGTTGTTAGGAGACAGATATGAAATGCATAAGGTTCAAGAGTTGGACGCCTTGGGCAAAGGGAAGCGGAGTCGTCACAAGCAGGTAAGTACTTGTGTTCCGTGCCACGCACTTTAATCAATTTGCAAAGAATGGCTTTTATTTGTTGCCTGCAATGATTTTGTGGTGTTTATTTTTGCATTGACAATGTCTATAATTCTTCAACTTTTCAGATGGTCTCTGTTGAGGATGATGATCTTGCTGGTCTGGAAGATGTAAGCTCTGATGGTGATGACAATGTTGATGCGGAGCTTACTGATGGTGATTCAAATTCGAATGGAACTATTTCTAAAAGACCTTATAAAAAGAGAGCCCGTGGTATATTAATAATAATTTTTTTCTTGTAATGATGAAGTTCTTGATCTGGTCTTGACTGTGGTGTCATCTTTCTCCTAAATTCTTTACCAGCGGATAGCACAGAGCCACATCCTCTGATGGAAGGTGAAGGAAAATCATTTCGAGTGCTTGGTTTTAATCAGAATCAGAGAGCTGCATTTGTGCAAATTCTGATGAGGTTCTATTTTATTTGCTGCTGTTTGATTATTTCTGATCTCTTACTTTTTGGAATATGTATTTAAGAAACAGCTTTGGCATGCTTATTGCTGCAGTTAATCTCAGTTTGAGTCTATTATAGGTTTGGGATGGGTGACTATGACTGGAAGGAGTTCACTTCCCGAATGAAACAGAAGACTTGTGAAGAAATCAAAGCGTAATGATATGACTTTTTCCTTGATTTGTTAGCATATTTGGGATGTTTCATGTCATAAATTAGCTTTGATAATTTATATAGGTACTTATTGTTGTTTCTGTGAGACATGGAGGCCTTTTCTTTTTGTAATTTTGTTTTTGAAAAAAGTGGGAAGTAGATGACATTTGCTTTCATATATGGTTGACAAAGCACGGAACACAGTAACAGTTTGGAGTTCTCATTTTTGTGGGCATGATGGCATACTGATCAGAACACTTTTTTGGATTTTATTTTTGATAGACCTTTTGTATGCGCATATATCATTCCTGTCTTGTATATGCTCATCCTCAAGGGGAAAAAAAAATGCAATGTCTACTGGTTTTCTTACTTGGTTATAGTTAAATTGCTATGAGAATGTTTTACTATCATTTTGGTGAGCAATTAAAAATAATTGCTCGGCCTTCTGAATATTTGCTTAAAGTTGCAAGTAAAATGGTATTATTCCTTTTTTTGATTCTGCATGACGTAACATAAATATTGATGGTGTTTGTAAGTAGAATATCGCTGGATCGGGAGTGAGTTAATTTGTTGTTTCATTTGTTCTTGTCAAGTCTTATCACACACACGGATTTTTTTAGGAGGATATCTAATCTTCTTGCTCTATAATTTCTTTCTTAGCAAGGTAGTGAAAAGCTGAACGTGCTCTTAAGGTGCCAAACCTTTAACATGTTTTAGGCAAGAGTCACTAGAAACAGTCCCTCTAGTGAAGTGAGGTATTAAAATAGAAAAATCTAAATATCTGTCCCATAAACAAAACTAAATAAATATTATCTCCGATCTTTAATATAAGACGTAGTTGACTAACTTGAAGATATTAAGAAAGCTAAATAATAACTTAATTATAGCATATGTTATATGATGTCCTTGAAATACTTGTGTGTATCATTAGATTATATCAGTTCACAAGTCAAGCAAATTAGTTTGGAGAAAAACGATAAATATAAATATTTAAAGTAATTTATTTAACTTCCTTAATCTCCCTAAATTAGTCAATTTTATCCAAATTAGTCAACTATGTCTTATATTAAGGACTAGAGGTAGTATAATTTTGAACAACATTTGATTTATAATTGTACCAGCACATTGGTTTAAGAAATACTTGTTGATGTTATTTTATAATTTATAACTTCGTTACCTATATTTTGGTTTGCATCTTACTTCAAGTCATTTTTTTGTGGGTGAAAATGACAAAGTTGTTAATTTTCAGATATGGAATCCTTTTCCTCAATCATATTATTGAAGATATAACCGATGCCTCTACATTCTCAGGTAGTGGATCCTTCTTGCAGATGTGGCCTTTTGCATTTTAATTTTTTTTCCCCATAATTTTATTGATTTTATCTTTTTTCTTATTCATTGGGACCTAGATGGCGTTCCAAAAGAAGGACTTAGAATTCAGGACGTACTTGTGAGGATTGCGATTCTGGGCTTGATAAGGGAAAAGGTGAGTCCTTCAAAGAAACTTTCTTTATGGTCACTATCTATACTCAATATAATCACTAAGAATACGTACTTTCAGGCCGCTGGTTTCACTTTGTGAGAAGCCGTCCATGTGTTTGGTTAATATTATATGGCTAATTCTAGATTGTGTCTGGCATGGATGTATCATAACTCTAACAAACTCAGTAATCTCTTCTCTGTTATGCTTTGTATTTACTTTTAGAAATTCTCATAAACTTGTATGTTTTGCACCTGACGAATAAGCTTTATCAATTTTAAGTGCCTTATTGGACAAAACTCTGAGAGATTAACTTCTAAGGTACCAACTACTGTTGTTTCCAGCTTGTTCTGTAAGTTTCTTCCCCCCTCCCCCCCCCAAACAACGAAGAGAGAGAGAGAGAGAGAGAGAGAGAGAGAGAGAGCATTTTCATATTAAAGGCATTTCAGATTTTATAAAATAAATTAATAACCATCTAATAGAGGCTAAGTTACCATCTAATTAATAAGCATCTAGCAGAGACTAAGTTACCATCTAACAGAGACTGAATTACCTGTAGCTTCAACCGTGAGTTGTTTAAACTGAGGGTCCTTGCATAGCTAGTCTCAACTTTTAGATAATTTATGAATACGGAATGGGGATACTTTTTTGAGTGTGATGTTCAAGCGACTATATGCAAGTTTAAATATATCATTTTACTTGCTGGGTGTTACAAATAGAATGGGGAAATGCAGCCTGAAGAATGATCATTCTAAACAGAATTTGTTACGTTCTTGAAATTTAGGAATGTAGGAAAGGGGAGAAAGAAGGGAAAGAGAGACAGAGAGAGAAGAGGGAAGAGAGAAACAAGAACAGAGAGGGTTGCTGGATAATCCTGGAATTCATTCAATAGTCAGAACAATTCGGTTTGATCCTGGAAGTATCCTTTTATAGAAGGAAACTAAAGGAAACAACATAGTCACAAGTTATTATCTAACGCTACTCTATCCTAAGTAAATTGTCCTATCTACTCTTACTTAAATAACACGAATTATAATTACATAACAGAATTACAGTTGAAATACAAGCAGAAAATTGATCTCCCCCCCTGAAAAATTGGTCATCTGTTGTAGAACAATATCATGCAGGAAATAATTTTAATTTTGACCATGTGCTTGTGGAAACACATGATTCTGTGAATGCTTGGCTTTGCGTTATAATATTCCTTCACTTGATGAACATTCTTTCTCTTGGGATGGAAATGACAGGTGAAGTTTGCATCAGAAAACCCTCGGACTCCGCTCTTTTCAGATGAAGTCTTATTTCGCTATCCCAGTTTGAAGGGTGCAAAGTTTTGGAAGGAGGAGCACGATTTAGTGCTGCTGCGTGCTGTGTTGAAGTATGTTTTCCTTCTAATAAATATATATATATATATATATATATCTTGTCTAATTTCCTTGCATAGGCAATGGCTTACTTCATCACAAAAATGGTCCTCTCTACCTTTTTTGCTGTACAATAGATATTGGGTATCATGTCATGGCATAATGGGAAACGCCATTATTTTTTTAGGCTTGGAGACCATATGGTCTTCGCAAATATACTTAGGCGGTGTTTGTATATTATTTTTGCTACTGCCTTGAATATATTCTATTACTTGAGACAGCTGAATGTGATATTGTTAGTTGGCTCTGTTGGTAGCATTGTGATTCCCCCCCCCCCCCCCTCCCCGGGGTTTATACACCGCTCAAACATGATTCTCTTTTTTCCCTAAGGCACGGATATGGAAGGTGGCAAGCTATTGTTGATGATAAGGATCTGAAGATTCATGAGATCATCTGTCAGGAGTTGAACCTTCCCTTAATAAATATACCAGTACCAGGACAAGTAGGCTCTCAGGCACAAAATAATGCAAATTTGTCCAACGCAGAAGCAGCCAGCAATCAATCTCAGGAAAATGATGGGAGTGTCAAAGCACCTGATGGTGCGCTTGTTTCTGGGGATGCTAGGAGCCAATCACTTTTATATCAAGAGTCCTCCATATTATATCATTTTAGAGACATGCAAAGAAGACTGGTTGAGTTTATAAAAAAGAGGGTGCTTCTCTTGGAAAAAGGGGTCAATGCAGAGTATCAGAAAGAATGCTTAGTAAGTTCAAATTTTATAGGCTGTACTGAATTGAAGTTTTAAAGGCTTTACTGGATTAGTCTACTTCTATACAATACAATGATTGGTATTTCTTAAATTCTTGATCATAGGTCTGAATATAATTGGTCATTTGCTATGTATAGATATTTATTTTCGGTCGATTAGCTTGTGAGTTTCTCCTTCATGACCTCTGTTTGCAGGGTGAAGTAAAAGTAAATGAAGTAACAAACAATGGACTTAATTGTGAACGCAAGGCTGCAGGTGTGCCTGCTAATAAATCAGGGGAGACAGACACCCAAATGTCTGATCAGCTGCCTCAAGTGGAAGCTATAGGTATGACCTTTTTATTTCTTTTCCCGTGTCAATTGATATATGCAGACAATAGTAGTCTCCTAGTTTGAATCATATGAATTCGTTGTGTTTATAATTTTTGCCCTTTCTGCTTTGTCATTATTATACTCGGATATAATTTTGTCAATCATTAGCTAGTTCATTGCAATTTGAATAGAACAAAAATCTGTTGTGAGATTTTATTGTAGCGGTTTGATTTTCTGCAGCTTCAGACGGGATTTCTGTTGCTGATAGTGATCCAAATCGTTTGGAATTGATTCGGCTTTACAATGAGGTTATACATTATCTCCATGAGCTGTTTTTTTCCTTTTATAAATTAATCACTTCATGCATTAAAATATGCGTGGGAAATTGCTTTATGGCTTATTGTATGTGAGAACTGTTTTCCCCTCCGTGCTGGCAGATGTGTAAAGTCATGGAAGAAGACATCGATGCAAGAAAACCAGCAGAAGTTGACGTGAAGAAATTGCTGGCAATAGAGCCCATTTGTGAAGACATCAGCAGAATTCTAACACCCTTGCAGGAAAGTCACCCTTCGGAAGAAAAGCCATTATTGATTCCAGAGAATAAATCAGAGGTTTCGCCACAAAATGAAATTGTGGTTTCTCAAGATGGCAAACCTAAATCAGTAGGTGACGGGAGAACAGATCTGGTGATGGAGGATCAACTTGCAAAAGAAAACAACACGGGCCCTGTCGAAGAGAAGGAAACACCGAGTCCTGTAGAAACAATGGGAAGTGATGTAGAAATGAACGAAGCTGAGAATGATGCTGAACTGAATGAAAAGAAAGAAAAATCTGACGCAGACGTCATCTTGTTGGATGATTAAAAGCAATACCGAATAGACAACTATTTCATACCTTAGCTCGATAGTTTATCTGGGGTTAGAGGGGGAAATAAGTAAGTACGGCATAGCTACTAGTCAAGAAATATTTTCCTTTGAAAGCTCTGTGGAAACTGTCCATAAAAATTAGCGTGTAGCTTTTCTAGGCATTGAACAACGTATGATCCATCGTATATTCTCGCTACCCAGTTTTCGCTGTCCCATGTAGACTCGGAAGCTCATCGGCCTTAACAGCTAAAGTGCTTGAGTACTCAGGAAACTCATCTCATTGGAACCTTTGGGAAGCAGTCCTAAGGTGGAAGTATTCTTGTTCATTGAAGAACATTTTTTTTTTTATCAAAGAACAGTATTTTGACCGTGTACATATCCATAAATTAGATGAAATTAATATTATGTGATAGCGTGAACGTAATTGGCTATACATTTGTCGATTATTTATCAATATCTTCTTTGCGCTACTGCCTAACGGTTGTTTCTGTTCGGGTTGAGGTTCAGGTTGAATTTAGTGTGAGGACATCAGAACTTTCGTAGCTCCTGGCTTCCGAGGTCAAGAGCACGAAAGCATCAATTTGTCATTTGTACGTGCCAGGGACGATGCTGACGTTGATTCTACTAAAACAACTTCAACGACACTACTAATGTTGATAATCCTTTCTCTCAGAATGCGAAAGACATTAATTTAGTGAAGTTAAATGGTACGTTTTTAATATAAGATCTTATTGGATTTTTATTTTGATTCTAAATATAAGATCCTAATCTACTTTGTCTTTTATATTTATCTTTTTTTTTCAAAGAAGTTTCTTTAATAATAATAGTTCTAGTCAATATACTTGATTAGTAATGATATTTGAGAAAAATACTTATTTATTACAAATAACTAATTTAACTTATTTTTTTAATCTTTTTAAACTAGTCAACTAGTTCTTATATTTAGGATTGGAGGTAATATATTTCAATATTCTAACCATGACATCATTATAATTTTTCAGCAATCATTATTACTTTAAAAAAGATAAATTTAATATATCAGTATTTTTGAATAATTTGTTTAACATTTAAAAATTTAATATCGATATTTTTTACTAATGAAAATAACATTATTAAAATTAAACAACTGGAAAAAACAATTTACATAATAAATGAAAAAAATAAAACTTTACATAAAATTAAAGAATATGTTTGATGGTTTTTCTAAAATATCTTTTTTAATTATATGTATCGTAATCACTAATTACCTATTGATAAAAATTTTCTTATTATGTGCAATCAATAAAGATATTTTTTAAAAAAAATTATAAATTTGTGTTGAGCTCTTATGATAAAGTAAACTCTTTATTTAATTCTCGACCCAAGGTACTGTTAATTTCGAATCAGAAGCTGCGCACGGGAAGCCTCGACTTTCTTACGGTAGCTCCTTTATTATATTCTCACATTTACGAATCGATCAAGCACACGGCTACCAAGTCTTACTTGGTAGATTCCACCTAGCTAGCTGCGTAATACAAGGGTCCGTCTCAAAGTGCTCTTTTATATCTTTTAGTACTCAAACATGGAGAAAGATAAAAAGAGTTCACACTAGATCGTCGGTTGGTGGTCATTTAAACGGAATCTCCTTTATTTCCGTTGAATCTGTTCAAACCACAATATGTGTCTTACTCTTCTCCCTTATTATATTGTTTATTCTTACCTTCACCTTTTCTCACCACTGATGCAATGATCAGACTGTTAAAATATTGCCTCATGGTCATGCGTGGGCTATCCTTTACATCATGCGTCAAACACATAAAACTGCGCGTAGAAATATATATATATATATATGTAAATATGTATACACACACGAACATATATTAGGGATGTACAAATGGGATTTGGTGACTATTGAGACAGATGATATATATTTACATGAATATATAGGTTCAAATGCATTCGTATGTTGGCACGCCTGATGTTCATGAGATTTGACACGCACGCACGCACACCGCCCTGCAAAAGATTAAAGAGAATAAGTTCGTGGTATATATTCAATTCGAGCATATCTTTTTCGGTTAAATAAGGTGGCAGAATAAGGATAGCAGTTCTGACACAATACAGGAAGGAGGAATGAATGAAGAATACTTAATTACACATGACTTACGAGAGCCACTGATTACTTAAATGAAGAATTGACAGAATAGAATCGGTTTTGGCTTGTAATTAAAACCCGTACGCTTTGATTCGACGAAACTCTCTCTCTCTCTCTCTCTCTCTCTGGGTGGTCAATTAATTATTCATTTGTCATGTTATGATATGTATGATCATGACTCCATCGATTCCTCGTTCATTATTCTCCAATTAATTCTTTCATCAATTTGGTTTCCTTTCCTTTTCTTTTCCTCTCTGCTTACCTGGTTTTTAGCGGTTGGGTTTCACTTAGCAGACAGCTGGGGAAGATATATATATATATATATATATATTGAAAGGGGTATAATTTTGTGTATGCTTGTAAATACACACACACAACCACCAATCGAATTTTGAGTTGTCTCACAATATATGACAAGTATTCACTTTTTAGATAGACATGCCTGAGGATGTATACGTACGTACATAGCAAAAGCTGCAAGCACTCAAGGCAGTATTGCAAAAGGAATACATTCCCTGGAGACTGCAAAGTTTCAACAATAATGGCAATATAGTATAGTGATTAGAAGCTGCAGGCGGTGGCAAAAGGAAGGTTGGCGTTTCAGACATAAACAATATAGAAAAGAGAGAGCCAGAGAAAAGAGTGGGGATCGGATGAGGGAGAAGAGGAAAGTGAAAAGCTAGAAACCTGAAAATGAGGCCACTGCTGGTAAAGCTGGGGACAAGAAGAGACAACACTGGGCTTCAAATGCACGCATGCTTTTCCCACACCAACTTATCTCTCTCTAACACGCCAACCTGTTCTTCCAACAAGCTTCATCCCCACTTCTCTTTATCTCGATCACCGCTTCTTTTCATTCCCAAAGCTAGCAAACAAAACTAAAGCGTATGCCTTTCTTTGTTATTGTGTTCTGTGAGCTTTATTAAGGTTGGTCCATAAATTATATATACAATCTCATTATTTTTGGTTTGCAACGACCAAACAAAAGCGAACTGACCTTTATTTCTGGCCTCCTGGATCTATTTTCCATGTTTCCCGAAAAATAATAACCAACTTTCTGCCACATATAGATAATAGCGCGCATAAGTTATGCTTGGCCTTTACTATATGTTATGTTTGGATATTTTCTTGATGATTAAAATCTTAAACTGGCCTGGGCAACTTCGAACGTACACATAATAGTACCATAAAATATATGCTTGATTTTCTTGGATCTTAGTAATGATCATGTCTCTCCAGAAATCATTTCAAGACAAAAACTAGTAATATACGCATACCAAACCATGCAAGTAATTGAAGGAGACAATACAATATCAATATAATGTACATTAAAGGGCTTTCAAAATTTTATAATTGGCATCTATATCTATTTTCATCAGAATTCAAAATAAATTTGACAGGCTAAGAAAACTGATAACATCCAAACATTTGACTTGCGTTAACAGTGCATGACTTCTCTTGCAAAGTAGGAAAAATTGGACGGAAATTGATAACAGTTTCCTTGAAAGCTGTAGTTTCTTTATTCATATATTTTTACCCCAGCGGAGTGCATAGAAATGGCTGACCAATTAAAATCATGATAGAGAGGGTGGTAGGTCGTTTCCTCTATCTCTGAGTGCGAGCCAGATAATACAGTCGGCGACTTAACGGAAACTTCTTTTGCTCCTAACACACACAGTACCATGCAGAATATATATTAATTTTACCAAAAAGAAGATGCATTTCTAAACATTAATTCTCCATCTTATTATATAAACCCCCTTCATCAGCAGCTTCTCCATGTATAAAGCTTGCCTCCTACTATAGCTAGTAACATTATCTTCCATCTCTGTTCTTTGTAACCTTTAATTTGCCGTCGATCACCTATATCTGTGTCAGTACTGATCTGATCAGAAACTAAGCCGAATTCAATCATGACCACAACCAGACATGGCAATTATGTTAGCCCTAGCAATAGTGCCCTAGTTTCAATTTCAAGGGTTGTGCCTGTGTATCCAAGGCATGTGCAGCCTGGTGGGAGGGTCTTGAACCTCTCCAATTTAGATAGGCAGTGTCCTACCCTGATGTACGTGGTGTTTTTCTATAACCCATCTCAGGCTTTCAAAGATCTGACCCTTAGTTCAGTTTTCAGCAGCTTGAAATCCGGGTTGGAAGAAACCCTAAGCTTGTGGTACCCGGCTGCAGGTAGACTGAGGGTGAACCAAAGTGATGGGAAGCTGAACCTGTGGTGCAACAACGAGGGTGCAATAATAGTGGAGGCGCACACCCCTCTTAGAGTCTCACAACTTGGGGACTTGTCTCAGTACAACGAATTCTTTGAGAAGCTGGTTTATAAGCCATCTTTTCATGCCAATTTCTCGAACATGCCTCTGGTTGTTGTTCAGGTGAGATGCATATATACGTATTACAACCTAGCCACAGGCGCATAAAATCTCTTATGAATATCAGAATTACACGATATATGTACATGGATCTCTTACGCCCCTGTGAGTAGCTCTTTTCCAAAGAAGTGATTTATCAAATCTACAGATGGGAGAATTAATGTTTGTTGATTTGTACTATATAAAAATGAAAGAAACTAGGGTTGCACCCATGTGATCATTGAATTAATACATATATATTATGTATGTATGTACATGTGCATTATGAGATTATTCGAGTACATGTTGCCTTCGCAGTAGACAAGGGTGATTGCAAGTTCTTCCTACTTTCTTTAATTTGATGCTTATATATTCATCAAATATAAAGGCCTGTAAATTTGTTTTTTTCATGGTTTTTGGTACAATTTCTTTACCTTAATTAATTTTTTTCTTTTTCTTGGGTGTGTGGAAGTCCGTTCCTTGTACTGAATTAGACACTCAATTTTTTGAACTACATATTTTTTTATATGTACATGTGTATATTTCACAGGTGACAAAATTTGGATGCGGAGGGTACTCAATTGGGATTGGCACTAGCCACTCGCTATTTGACGGACCAGCAACTTATGATTTCTTGAGTGCATGGGCTTCTAATTCTGAAATTCTGAAAGGAATCAGGCATGCCGGCGAGGTGGCAAAACCGGTGCATGAGAGAGGGATACTACTGAGTGGAAGTCTCGAAACCCCAAAAGGAACTGTGTTTGTGAATATGCCTTCAAACTCAAGAACCTCTAATCATGATCAGCAGACAAAGGCCGTGGCAATAGAACATCTCTATCAGTTGATAATGCAAGCAGCTTCTGAGTACAAAGGTTTTCAGCCGCAAAATATTATTGGAGGCTCCGAACAAAACAACTATGTGCTTGCGACCTATCACGTAAGCACTTCGCACATAGATTACTTAAAGAGGAAACACTTCTCCATGAGCACAGATCACTCCCCTATATTTTCAACCTTCGAGGTTCTTGCATCTCACCTTTGGAAGGTAACTTAAATCCTCACTTCCTCTTAATCATGTGCACCAAGTTGTTTTGAGTGGTAATCGATAATTCTAATTCAGCTAGTTACAACAAGATTTAAGTAAGGTTCCTTAATCATTTGTTATGATCAAACTCTCCTACACAGACTGAACACGTATAAGTTGAGCTACCTAATATGTAAGTTTAGTGAACAAGCCGACGATAAATGCAACTAGACACATTAACCGATTTGAACTTGTATTTCTCTTAAGTTTTGAAATAATACTACCTCCGATCCTAATTATAAGAGTTAGTTGACTAATTTGAAAAGATTAAAAAAATAAATTAAGTTAGTTATGTATAATAAATAGGTGTTGTATTTTTTAAAATATTCTTGCTAATCGAGTGTATTGGCTAGAAATATTATTATTAGAAGGACTACTTTGAAAAAAAAAAACATAAATATGAGAAACAAAATGGATTAAGGTCTTATATTTAGGATTAAAATAAAAGTAAAACGAGATCTTATATTAAGGACTAAAGGTAGTATTAATAAGATGGCAAATATTTAAGGTATTTTACCCCCTTAACGACGCCAGTGAACTATTTGTTTAATTATGCGATAGGCACGGACCAAAGCATTGGGATTGGGAGTGAGGAAAGAAAAGAAGGTATGCTTGCAGTTCGCAGTGGATACGAGGAACAAGATGGTGCCCCCATTACCAAAGGGTTTCAGCGGGAACGCGTATGTTCTTGCGTCTGTCATGATGTCTGTGAGAGAAGTGGAAGAGGCAAGCTATGGAAGGATCGTGGAGAAGATAAGAGAGGCCAAGAATAGAGTGAACCACGCATATGTGAAAGCCTACGTGGAGGCATTGGAATCAGGAGCACAGGGAAGCCTCCCTCCTTTGAAGGAGCTAACCTTGGTTTCTGATTGGACGAGGATGCCATTCCATAATGTCGGATTCTTTCATGGAAAAGCAGCCTGTGTTTCTGCTCTCGCATCTCCAGTTCCACAGGTTGCTTATTTCATGCCCAACCCTTCTGACAATGGAGGTGTTGATGTCAGAATTGGCTTGCACCCTCAGGTTGTTACTGCTTTTTCCGACTACTTCCTATCTAAAGGCCAATAGAAAGGCTACACAGATATAATTTTCAGTTTGGTTCTTCGAAGTGTAGGCATCTTAATTCCGTTTCCTCGCAAATTTAATCTCTCTATTCATTGGTCTGATATAAATTTTACTGACCATAAGATTTGGCCTAACAGAATTCATGTGATATAAGTGGCCATGCTTGGCGTTCAGAAAAGCAGAAACGTTCGTGAATTTGGGGACCATGGTCTTCTTATAGCTTTTCTGGACACTAAATATGGCAACTTTATCGGTCCAATAGCCACTTGTTTTCTGTTAAGCCAACTCATGTCAGTTAAACAAGAACTCAAATTAGAGAGATTCAATTGACTGGAAAAAATGAAACCATGGGGAACGAAATCAAGAATTTTACAGTTTGAAGGACAAAATTGAAAATTTGTGCAATCTTTCGTGGGCAAAAATCATGATGTATTCTAAAAGTAAAGTGATAGGACATACAGTACTATTTTAAATTTGTCGTATAGGGTTTGCTCGAAAAGCTGTCTCGGGACCGGAGATGTCGTTCCGTAAGCGATTACACAAGAACGAGTCGACAAAATAATGTAATAAATAAAATGAATGCCCTTTTGTTGCATTGTATGCCTAAGCATTCGCATTATTTATTGGAAACCCATGTTCACTGTTAGCATAATCATCCACTTAATCTTGATTTTGAAGCACTAAACATATTTGCTAGCAAAGCATGTCTGCTAAAACGACATAATTTATTCCATAATGCACTGTCAGACCCATGGACAAGACAACAATGCAATTTCATAAAGTAAGAGAAAGCCCTTATATTACATGTCAGAGAGTAATCTGAAAGAGGCTAGGCCTACAGAAAACTAGAACTCCAAGAGAATATATCTGAAACTACAAAATTCGCCAACAAGCATGATGCTTATATAAGGTGCCAAAATGCTGTCACATAGATGTCCCCACGGTGTAATTATTACATATTAAGTCTCCATTCAATAATTTCACCTTGTCTTCATCCTACATCAGATGATAAAGTCATTAGAACAAGCAGATAATAAATCAACACCAAAATTCAATATCTTTTGCAAATTCAGTGTAATTTTGGAAATGTGTAACACTCAGAAAGGCAAAAAGAATAACTTCACAAAGTTCATATTTCATAAAGCCGAGGTCTGTCTATCGTTCATTTGATCAGTAGATCAACTAGACTACTACAACGTAGATCAATAAAACGAGACAATTTTACAAGCAAAAAATGGAATAACAATATCAAAAACCAGACAGAACACATGAAGCCAGTTCAACGACTAAACCAATTCGAGTCCCTTTTTAGCATATAAAACAGCACTGATGCTGCCGATATCAGCAAATCTTCCATTCAAAGCTGATCCATTGCATCGACTCAAAGGAGAATGACATGCAAGAAGGCCAGCAAGTGACAGTTATGGCAGAGAAGAAGGAAACTGATAGTTAACGTCATTGTATAGTGAAACTGTAATATATTTGGCATTTTTAACGGTAATATCCACCAATTCAAAATCTGTAATGGTGTCTACACAATAATCAGAAGTCACAGATAGATGCATCAACAAGTCACAATGAGATCTTAAAATGGTCAAGCCATTATTTATTTGAGGACTAATTGAATTTTATAAATTAAAAAGAAGAGTCGTGCAGAAACACCTTTGGGAAGACCCAAGTAGCATTGATTAAATGTTACTACCTGTTTCATCATTGAACCGACTAAATCATCCAGTGAACCAAGATTGCTATTGATGTGACTCTGTTGCGCCTTCTGCGCGTCTATGAGATACCCTTGACCTTGTCTCAACAGGATCTCTTCAGCTAGTTTTGCCACTCCATGATGCTTAGTTTGTGTGGGATTACCACAATTGAAGACCAAGTTTCTGCACAAGGCTGGGTCTGTTGGTGAAGGACTAGCTGGTCCACTAACACTACCATTTACAGGAATCAGAGAGTTTGCAGAGCTACAAATAACATTTGAACGGTAAGCAGAATCCTGACTTCGGTCATCCCACCCTTGAAAGGGTACGTTACTGCTTATGTGCCCGGAAGTATTAGCAAAAATGTCTCCTTGGGAATTCGAATTTGCTGTTACATCTTGGGGTTGGCTGTACATGAAAGTGACGGATGAAGCATCACTTGGATTCCCAACACGCAACGGTGTAGCAGTCAAGTTCTCCGTTGGAGATACAACCATTGGTCTAGAACACCCAGTTGGTGGGTAAGAATTTGGCAGGATTTCAGATGACTGCACACCATCGGACCAATCATCACCACAACACCTATGATCCAGCAAAGAGCAAGAAATTTCTGAACGTTGAGCATCTATTGAAGATAAATTCTCATATGCTCTGCCCCCTTGTGTGTTTTCAGGATGTGCTGCTACCATAAAGGAGTTGTCTTCTACACTCTGAAGTGGGGTGAGTGGGCAGCTAGCAGTTACTATTTGTGTTGGATCAAGTGGTTGACTAGAGATGGCTAACATTATTTTATCATCAACATCAATAGCATTGGTCATGTCATGAGAAGAACTAATGCTTTTATGCTTATGGTGTTGTAATTGATTACTCTCGGTATACCCTATTGTTCCCCGAACTGCATTGCCATTTTGGTTACCATGAACAATGGTTGACTGGAACTTGAGTGGGTCATTCATAGAATTGTTTAAGTTCTGCGCACAGCCAAACTGAATATTTCTTGAAGAAGGCAGTCCATGCACGCCCAGGCCAGCAGGAGAGTTGAATCGACCAATTGCCCTAATAGATGGGAGGGATCTGAAAACATTGTTCTGAAACTGTCCAGGAGCACTCAATGTTTGCAAATGGCTGAGCCCACTCAAAGAGCCCATTCTCCAAAACGATTGATCTGCAGTACCTAAGGCTGCCACCAGATTAGCCTGTTGGTTCGCTACACAACTGATTCTTTTCAGATAGAGCCTATATTTCTGCAACCATCAGAATATCCAACAATAAGGCTCCCTAAAATAGAGGGTTTAGGTCATATGTTAAGATAAAACAGGAAGGTTTAGAAAAATGCCTGGAGATGGCTAGCCACATTCTCCCTAGTAAGCTTCTCAACATTCATCAAATCAAGAATCTTTTTAGGTACAGCCTCTGCCACCAAAACAACATGATCATGAGGCGCAGACTTGTTTTGGAAGCAGATAATTTTATGCCACTAAAGAGAAATACAGGAACCAGAACATAACATGATATTTACCCCCCAGGGGCACTTATGCTTTGAAAGAGGAGTCAATATCGTTTTCGTGATATTAATTCTAAATAGAATCATCATATCGTATAATATCCTAAAAATTGGGTAGCTAAACTATACCCAGAATATTCATTAAAAAGAATGTTAAAAGAAATCAAAAGAAACAAGCCTTGATAAAGCTCTTTGGGGAAATTAATTAAAATTATAGCTTCAGTTGTTTTGATTACAGGTAAAGGGCAAAGAGAAGAACTTACTGTCAATGCCCAACTGATTAACAGCAGCAACAAACTTGCGATGCAGCTCAACTGTCCAGACAACCCGAGGCTTCTTCTGGGTCGACGGGTCCTCATCAACGTCCTCCTCATCATCATTCTGATCCTTCCTTTTCTTGGGCATCTTTTGATCTATATGGTATGTTCCTGCTGATCCTAGACTGCTGCCGCTACCTGCATGAGGCTTGTCTTGGTTGTGGGGATTGTTCTGCTCCTTAGAGTCAAACTTCCTCCTCCTGATCACATGCTGCCAAATGTTCTTTAGCTCTTCCATACGAACAGGTTTCAACAGATAATCACATGCTCCATGAGTAATTCCCTTCATCACTAGCTTTGGGTCACCATATGCTGACAACACTGAAATCAAACATTTTATAACATATTAACTTCAGAGGATCATCAGCAAGCATTCTTAAATCAGTCTACCACAAACGTTGAAGTTTTTGTGTATACGAAGTCAAAACAGCCACGAAACTTCCCTTTTCTTAATTGAAAACTCCTAATTTTCAACAATCTAGTAAGTATCTGCCGTCGAAAGAGATGGACTGACAAAGACTTGTGCGCTTACTTATGACTGGTAAGTCCATCTCAAGTCCTACATGCTCGAGTAGTTTAAAGCCATCCATGTCTGGCATATGAACATCACTGATAACCAGGTCAAACCTGTTTTTGTTTTCTCTCAACAGCTTCAATGCTGTTATTGCCTGACTAGTTGTCGTCACTGCAAAATAATCAGTAGTGACCAGAATAAACATCATTATAAAACAGCACATTAGCAAATTTCAGATGTATATACAGAACACAAAACAGTTGTCACGTTCTGTGGATGAGAACTCCAACCAGTAAAACAGCTCAAACCATCCCCTTGGTATCCGATTGAGATCGGATTCCATGGGTGAACTCAAGCAAGAGTCACGGGAGAGAGATAGGGAGCCAGGAAGAAAAGGTCAAGTCAAGAAAAGGGAGGCTAAAGAAGGAGCGGCAGAGAGATTGAAAATAAGAAATGGTGAACTGTGAAATGCAGCCAGTTAGTGAACTAATTTATGTCACCTTGTAGAAAAGCCAACCATTGAAGCCAAGAATAAGATTGGACCGTATATTGGTTACAATCTCCCCCATGCAGTTACTTAATACAAGTCCTTCCCGTTACAATATTACATAGCCAAACGAACTAACAGTTTCAGCACAAAGACACCAGCTCAAATTCAAAATCTATATGATAAAGCACGAATAGAAATCCCGAACCCGCAAAAGGGAAATAGAATAATGAAGGATAAATCAAAAGAAGAAGGAGAAAAACCGTTATATTGGCATCGTCGAAGAAGAGTTTCCAACACGAAGAGGCAAGTTGGGTCATCGTCAACGGCAAGAACACGCATCCCTACAGGAAACTGGTCTCTGGGATCATCCATTCTGGTCTCCACAGTCATTTTCTTCACACCAGTACTCGCAAACTCAACCAGTGGTCGTTGGAAGAGATTTTGAGCCTTAGACGGATTTAACTTTCAACTATGATCACTGGTTCACTGTTATATGGTCTATGGGTGCGAAACCAAAAACCATGTGAAACAGAAGAGATGCCAAGAAAAGGATTCGCATAGTCCAACGAATAAAATCCTTAGCAGAAAGAGGGAGGGTTAAGGGGAATGTGATGATGTAGAGGAATTAAAAACCATAAATTTGAAAGGAATTTCGCTCTTTTTTTTTCCACTTATTTGCCCCGTAACAGTAGAGTGAGAAATGGAATCTACGACAATCTATAGACAGTGAAAGGGGATTGAATAACGTAGACTTTGGAACCAAATGGACCTTATTTATCGTTTTGGATACCAGGAATCCACCGAAAACCAATGCGTCATAAGCACGCGCTTAAAGGATATGAAATAAACATTAGATGGACGGTGCTTTGATGGATACAATGATCACGGATTCACTTGCGTTGCCAGGTAAAAGAGAATATGGCCGCATTAATCATCCTTATTTCGCCATATCTGTAATAAATGCATTTCCTTCTTCTTCTTTTTTTGGCTGAAAAATGCATTTCCTAATTGGATATCCAGCTTTCCATCAAATCAGGCACTTTAATTTTGTGAAACATAAATTGAAGCCTTTTGTTTGTTTATGCCTTTATGGGGCTTGAGAGCTGAAATCCGTGCGTACAGATTTGGGGCATTATTATTAATATATATTTGAAGTTTTGTCTTTTTAGGAGTTTCTCTGCTACTCAATCATTCAGTCAAACTGAAAAATTCTGGGCACTCGCCAGTCAACAAGCAAAGATAAGGGCCATTATTTATGGACGGTTGAATGCAGTAAGCAAGGAATGTGACATTGTGGCACGTTATTGCATCATATGTTAATAAGAGAGAAGAAAATAATTATCAACTACAAATATATAACTAAATAGTTGTCATTTAATATCTCAAAACTTGTCATTCCAAGTTATTCTGTTGTTACTGGGGCTTACCAATAATTATGTGAACTTTATACTAATAAATAATGATCATACTAATTTGAAGACCTTAAAATCTCAATTTTTGTATATTTGGCAGTATTATGATTTGAAATAGAGGAACAACATGTAATCTCAACCGTGACTAATGTCAAAACTAGGTTTCTTTTCTTTCTAAAAGCATAAGAACTGAATTAATTTAAAGGTATGTTTGGAATAATTTTATAAGTAGTTTTTTAATTATGATTTACACAGTAGGAAATAAATATATGAGAGAAGTTTTGTTTTCGTTTAGGTCAAAAAGTGCTTATAAATACTTATTTAAGCCAACCTAAGCAAGCACTAAGACTCTAGTATTTTTTTAAAAAAAATAATAAAAATTAATATTCTCTTCTATTTTTTTTTAATTAAATTTTTATTGATGGTACGAATTCTCCCTGTTTTTTTCCTTCACTTTTCATAGCTGTCTAAATTTAATGCATTATATTTTATTTTTTGAATATTTTTTAAGCAGTTTCAAACTGTAGGTCCTTCCTAAAATTTAAATTTATTTATTTTAATGAAATTTTATTAATAATTTTAGAGAATGTTAAAGTTAAAAATTTAATTTAGAAGTGAGAGAGGAGAGGAACCAGAGGAGGTGAAAAATAAAGGGATGGGAGGTCAGGTCCAAGCTTTGAAATGAGAGAGAAACAGGAAAGGAAGCCTGCGCAGAGAATAGCTGAGGAACGAGAAAGTGTAAGCGTGCTTGAAGACAGCAACGGACACTCTCTGTCTCTATCAATCTCTGCAGCCAAGCTTCATTATTTGTATACGGAAAACCCCACTCACTGATAAAGTTGCCTTCGTCTTTTGCATTTGATCCCCCCCCCCCCAACCCTCCCCTCTCTTATCATCACTCTGCTTTTCTGCTTTTGGCTTTAGTGCATTCTGCAATCATGCAACTTTAGAACCTTATTCCCCTTCCCCCCTGTGTTCTCAGACGCCTCCTGCTTCATCCATTCTTTGTCTCTTCTCTCACACTATATGCTCTCGTCTTCAAACTTGCATGTGCTCTCTCTCATCTCAAGAATCCAACAAACCGTTCACTTCGAATAATAGTAATATTATTATTACAGGATAGCCGGCCACCCCCACCAGGGAGCTAGGTAAGTTCCTAGAATGAAAGAGAAAAAGCAGACAACGTTATGTAACCTATAAATGCAAACAAATTTTGCCAAACAAATCATTTGCTTGTTGGTTGAGAGGCCACTAAGTTGATTGACGCCTGTGGGGTTCCTATCGCACCGCCCCGCGAAGAAAAGTCCAAAAATAAGTTAACGCGGAAAGAGTAAAGTAAAATCATGGTTGCCCATCATTATTGCTCAGGATAACGACGATTTTAGTGAGCTGGTTAATGATGATCCCAGATAATGACCGTCTCACTTAGAGTGCTGCCTGGCTTTCATGGCTCTGTATCGTCACATCGCCAATTAATTCTTTCGTGGGATGGATTCTTGGTTGATTATGTTTGTATATGCCAATAGTTATCTCAGTGAGAATTAGATATGTGTGTGTTCTGGTTGTTGATTTCTGGGGTTCAGTTTTGTTAAGAAGGATGTGGATGATATATGCAGCCGAGACGGCTGGAGGCCTGCAAGGGCAATTCCAAGCAACAAAAAGGGAAGACAAAGTTGCTTTGCTTCCTCGAAGTTGGTTCCTGAGGTCACATGTTGGAAGATCCGCACACAATTCACAACGCGTCCAAAAGTGGAGGGACTTAATTCTTATGATTAACCAAATCCAAAGCACATCATTGAGCCTCCACCAATACGATTTGGAAATGGAAATGAACTTTGCAGCGTGAGCTCCCCCACATCTTATATAATAAGATTATCTCAAAAGGTTCATTATTGGAACAAAATCTCGGGATATCCCGTGCTTTATGAAGGCACATGGCCTTCCTCTTGTGGTGAACAGTGCAACGCGTGTATCCAAGTTAATGTGTTCATCACTTCATCTTGTCTTTTGAGTGCCTAATAATGCGCGCCATGTATTTGAATGAGTATCTTAAAATAATATTACGTAAAAGAATAGTCTATCATTGCTGAGTATTCATGATTTTTTTTTAAAAAAATATTTTGATCCTTGCATTATTGTTCAAAGGAACATATCCTGAATAAAGGTAAATATTCTTGTTGATAAATATTTTTTTATTTTATCAAAAATCAGGCCGAGGCTTTGCGCTGAACCGTTGACCTTGGCTGGCCCGACTTGGGCATGCACATGATCGGGCAGTAAGAACAGGCCAAACGTGAACTGGTCCGAACTTGCATGCGACACACGCACATATATTGATCATTTTTCGATTCATGAGAGATGGACGGGAAATATAGGATTCCGGCGTATAATAAAAATTCAATTTATTTCTGATGCTGGGAAAGCACTACACTTGCAAATAAACTACCATAGTCAATAACAGGACGGTGGCAACCATTATTTTGATCCACCACTAATGTCAGGTGAATCTATGTTTGGATTAAAATGGGTAGTTGGTCCAATTCCAACCTTTCCCTCTGTGGATCAAGGCTGAGCATCACCAAAAGCTCTGTGCTTTCCTTAAATAGCCAGCAACTTAGTGCCCTCCAAGCCATGTATTTGAAGCTGCCACAACAAACCAAACATGTCAGGTAAATTTTCATTTGAAATATGCAGTGGAGAATAACACATCCGTCAAGATTTTCACTCTATATTTATCCCGCCGGTGTCATTAAAAGCGGGGAATGAAGAATTATGCGTACCTTGTCTGGAGAGGGCCCAATCCATGTCCTTATCAACGGCCCAAAGAAATAGCCATTTAAGCCCAATGAGCGAGCGAACTGGACTTTCCTTTTAATGGACCTGACATCATCATATGTGATCCAAGAAGTGCCGGCGTAAGAGTAATAAGACACACTGAGCCCATCATAAACGACAGTTGCCCCATTCTCCTTGTTGAATTCCAAAATCCTGTCGTAATCCATGGTCCCATCAGTATCGGTTGCTGGCCCAACAGCAGGAGCCCCGATCCCATGAACATTCGGATCCTCAAGCTTCCACGTCCGGCCATACAACGGTAAACCCATGACGAGCTTAGAAGGGGGCACACCGGCCCGGATCCACGACCCGATCCCGTAGTGGGTGCTTATGTTGCTCTTGGGATCGAAGAGAGCGGCGTTGACCCCGGTGAAGTTAGACCAGGCTCCGTGATAATCGAAGTTCATGGGACTAGCCCAGTCCAAGTATTTGCGGATTGCTTCGGCCGGATACGACCTGGATTGGTTTCCGATGAGCTTTATGGTATTGGCGTAGTACACTGCGGCTGTTAAAAGCAAGCGGGGCTTGCGTTGAGTTCTGGAATCCAGAACCAGGGCCCGGGACCATTCCTGGAACAAGAGAGCGAGGTTGGACATGTCTTGTGGGGTGTCCGGGAACTCCCAGTCGAGGTCGAGACCATCGAAGCCGTAGTGGCGAGCCACTTGGATGGTGGATTTGATGAAGACGGAGCGACTTTGAGGGGTGCTCGCCATGGCGGCGAACGCGGAGGAGTTGCTGCTTCCTCCTCCGATGGACAAGAGAGTCTTGACGGGAGGGTTGCGATTGCGGAGGCCGCTGATGAAGTTGGTAATCTCAGTTTGGGCAGATCCGGTGACGCTGAGCCGGAAAGAGTCGGCAGGGTCGGGCTCAAGGAAGGCATAGTAAATGTGGGTGAAGTAGTTTGTGTTAATGGAAGAGGTGGAGAAGTCACTACCCGAAGGCCAATACGCAGCTCTGACAGATGAATATGGTGTTGGATAAGGAGATGAAGAAGGACTGGACTCGGCTGATGATTGGTGCATTGTGACAAATAGCAGAAGGAGCATGAAGCTGTGGATGGCCATGGAGGTCATGTTTGTTTTGTTGGAGTACTTGCAAGGGACGAAGAGACAAGTTGAATATATATAGGGTTTTTCATAGAACTAGTTGTTTATTATACGAATGGGGACCCTTGTGGTTGGCTGTAGTAATTGGGAAGCTGTGAAGCAATTCAGCGAAAGCGGCCTTGAATTGAACACTCCACTAATCATTCGGACATGAGGAAGCAATCAAGCACGTGAAACAAAATAGGACTAAGGTATAACAACTAGAATACAAAGTCAAAACAGATAAAAGTCTAAAACTCCTTGGCTGAAAGACAAGGTCGTCGCTCTTACGCGCATAATTTATGCGTGGAGACTGAAGTAGCGATGGGCGGCTCTTCTCAACGCTCCTTTCGAACCAAAAAAAAGAAGGATAAGGTAAACATGTTGAATACGTTACAAGGAGATAATGTGCAGGAATAATGCATAATGGCCGCCATGAAAGGTCAATACCACTTGCTGATTACAGAACGACGGACTTTGGGGAATGCAGCTTAGAGCAATCGTTGTTATATACCACCCATGAGGTTAACGAGTGAACTTAATGCATCAACATGTTTTACTGGGGGGAATCCTACAATATACCTCTCCAATCCCTAACACAGTAACTAGTAAAGATGTTGGATTTCATTGTAGATATAATACTCAATCCATCTTCACCTAACTTATAAGCTCGAACATAACTGATCTAATATTATACAAGATTACTTTAAGAACATCAAGTCATATTTACTACAATTAATTAAGTTATCTAATTTAATTTATTCAAATTAATTAGTTAGGCAGCCCTTATATATATTAAATGTCATAGGTAGTTATCTGTAGCCCAACAAGTGAAAAGTGACGCCTTGTCTTCTTGTTTTGCTCTCTCTACCCATTATAGGGTTATAAAACAGACGAGAACCAATTTGATTAACAGCTCGCGTCGTCTTTTATACAAACAAGCCTTCTTTTGGAAAAATAAAAATCGGAAGGAATTGTATTAACGGACTTTGATTTGATTCAGAATGTTAAAAGTGTTAAATTCATGAATTACATAATCGTCGCCTGTACAGGTAATAGACAAATGTCGCCCAAGTAAGGGTCAGAGTTTCTTACCACGTAGAGTTTAATCTGATGGCAATGGATTTACGACTGAGTCGAATATCATTGGGCTTAGGCTATTGAATTCGGAATCAAGAACATCTATCCCCCAACAAATTAAATTTTTTAAAAGAATGAGTTACAAATATTAATCTAAACAACTACAAATTTAAGAATTTTAGTTACAGATAATTTTTTGAAGTTTCAGACATAATTCTCTATTTACAACTGGGACTCTATTTTGCAACTAATTTTTTCAGAAATTTTTTAGAGGCTAGCTAACATTTAGTTCAAATTCTCAAGACTTAAATACTCCTCCAATCCTTAATATAAAACCTATTTAACTAATTTGATTATATTAAAGAAGTTATGTAAATTAGTTAATTATAAGAAATGTGACATGTTTTTTCTAAAATACCATAATCATCTTTCTTAATATCTTCCCTCCATCACTTACTTGATTATGATTGATAGAGTATCCATAGGGATAATTTAGAAAAATTGATAAATATGATAAATAGGTTTTATATTTAGGACCAAAATTAATTTATTAATTAGGTTTTATACTACTTCCGGTCCTGATTATAAGAGCTAGTTGACTAATTTGAGAAAATTAAGAAAAGAAGTTAAGTTAGTTATTTGTAACAAATAGGTGTTGTCTTTCCTAAAATATCCTTATTAATCAAGTATGCTGGCTAAGACTATAATTATTAGAAAGATTATCTTAAAAAATTGAGAAAATATGAGAGACAAAATAGATTAAGATTTTATATTTAGAACTAACATAAAAGTCAAAATGAGTCTTATTTTAAAGACAGTAGGTAGTATTAAGAAGCGGAGGAGTATAATTTTTCCAGGCTATTTGTGTTAATCTAGAATAGATGTGTTGCTATCTGTGCCGTAACCTTCGTTGACTTCGTTGGGCTGACTTGGCTGGCATTAAAGTGGAGCTGACTTTGGGGATGAATGGATTCAATCATGGCGACTAATTGCTTCCAGGCGCATACTATTGCGTGCGCTGTTCAATGCCATTATCCTCTCTCACAATGTCCTATGTTTCAGACCTAATATCTTTAAAAAATTACGTTTGACTTTTCATTTTAATTACAGTAAGTCATACTGCAGAATATGACTAATCTTTAGGTTTGACCAGATGAATTATCACAACAAACGTTCTTTAGTGTTACTAGAATAATAGAAGTTTAAAATCACCGCACCGGTGCAGGTTAGAATTATATGACGGCAAATGGTTGACCCCGGGCTTTGATAATGTGAAATTAAAAAGAATTAATATAAATTTTGATCATCAAGTTTGTTTTCATTCTTTTCAAATATTTTTAACAAAATGAAAACAAAATTTCCTTACATACTTATTTTATATGCTGTAAAATCACTTTCAAAATTTAACATTAACCTAAACACCTCTTAAATTTGAAACAAGGAAAAACGAACCTTCGGCCTATTCCAAGCAATCAAAACTACTAGAAATGGCATTGCTTTATGAAAATTAAAATGGCTATATAACTAACAGACTTAAAATAAATCCGCGCACATTGTTTTGTATATTAAATGAGTTAGATTTCTTTAAGTTTACGATACATCCTTTAAGATTAAAATTTCAAAATAAAAGCAACAATTTAAATAATTTAAATTTAATCTGATTAAAATAATCATCCAATGAGGAGGAAGAGACTAAAGTAAATTGAGGTGGCAGACATCAGCGCTGACTAGTAATAACAAAAAATTATTGTTGCTGATAACTATTAATTAAGTCATGGATGATGGTCGGGCAATAGCTGATAGGGTGGATCGTAGCGCAACAATCATAATGACAATATTACGTTCGATACTTAATATAAAAGCTAATTAATTAATATGAGTAAATTAAAAATATTAGTTAAGTTAGTTATTTGTAATAAATAAGTGTTATCTTTCATAAACTATCATGGCTAAAATTACCATTATTACAATAATTGTCTTAGAAAAAATGGATAATTATGAGAAATAAAATAGATTGGGGTTTTATATTTAGGACCAAAATAAAAGTTAAACAAACTTTTATATTAAAGAGCGGAGGTAGCGTATTTTAAAAAAAAAGGGAAGAAGAAAAAAACAGTATGGTTATCGTGCAGTGAAAGGCGGGACAATGAGGTTCTGGTCAAAATCCATGCATTGGAGCCACGATATCAATACGCCGCCGCACTCAATGTTGTGTGTTCCTATTGAATTGCCTCTTACGCATGCACATACGCTCCCTCCCTTTTACAAGCCAACTTGCCCTGTCTCCATAAGTTAAAGTAACAGATGCACATACGCTCCCTCCCTTTTATAAGCCAACTTGCCCTGTCTCCATAAGTTAAAATAACAGACACCACTTGAAAAATAGAAACTTTGGATGTGTGAATATAGCAGCTCTGAGTATAAGATCATGACGTACTACGCGGCACTAAATAAAGACAAAAGGTTAATGGGCACATTATTAAAGAAAGCAGGATGTACAGAGATTATATCAACCAGAACCAACAAGTTTTATCTGTATATGTAGCACTGAGGCCAATGATGTCCAGGGGAGCTTTTGAAAAAAGATCCAAGAAGATGATGGTGGGTGGTAGCTTTTGCGTGGGATGGCTTTCCAATGAGGACCAGTTCTTTATTATGTTTTTTTTCCCAAGTGTTGGAGTGGACAAAGAGGATCTGCAAAAGAGATTTGGTTCGATGCATTCATTACTTCCTGCGAGTTGTTTGCCTTGTGGGATTTGTTCATAGTCCATAACTCACTCATCCCACTTTAATTTACGGTGGGGCTTCGACTTACGACTTTGCCGTTAAAGTTGCCCCATATATACATATATATGTCCACTTGTGATGGTGCTGACCATCATTACTTATACCAGAAGCCCAAGTTGCTCCTAGGCCGAAATATTAGTAGCAGCTTATTCCTTATGTGCTTCTCTTGCTTCACATCTTAATAATGTAACTTAATCCACAATTAATACACAATTCCGCTATCACGGGTAACCAGAATGCCTCCACATCAGCCTTCCCTTTTAATTGTCGGCCGTTTGTCTCTTTATTTTCTTTTCTTTGCCTCCTTTTGATAAGTTAATTAGCGTAATTCTATCAGGCCAAATTAAGGCCTAAAATGTTTAAGACAGATTAAGGAGCAAAATTGAGTTGATCCGTTCCTTTCGAAGTGGATATTTATAAGACACGGAAGTGGTCCCTTGTAAGGAAATGGGTGCGAAGCGAACATGAAAAGTAAGAAAGTTGAGACGAACACAAGGGACTAGAAAACTAGAAATGCAAAGGAACAGCATTGGGATAAATGGGAACATGGCAGCCCCGCTGGATGGACTTCCAAGTACAGAGAAAGTTGTTTGGCTCTGTCTCCTCCATGATTAGGTTACTTTCGATACCGCGCGTGATCGCATCACTTGATAATATTCTTCTGGTCTTCCCGATGTCCAATGGCCAACTTCCCTTCCATTACCGGCAGTTACCCCACACCGTGTCCCTGCATGAGCCTCTAACAGGGACAACGACTCGGCTTGCCATGTTCTTTAGGGAACGCCTCAGAATCATCCAGTTCATGCAGTTTTCCTCAGGTTAATGATGACTTATAATTTCTTGCCATATGCTACAAAATTCTCAACCAAATTACAGCTGTGTACAGTAAGTTTATACAGCCACATGGTTGAATATATAATGGATTTCCATTCAAAAGTCAAAAGTGCACTAGAAGCTGTGTTACTGTTTCCGCAAATCCTATTCCACATATAGGAATCCCATGAATAATTAAACTCCTGACCATATGCTTTTTTTTTTTCCAACCCATTTTACGGTCTGAAGAATCCGCAGGGTAATATTTGTGTTAAACTACCGACAAGGGAATGAGAAAGTTAGTACTATCTGCCATGGAACGAGTTTGTAATAACCCCGGCCTACTCTTCGCTGGAGAGGTTCGTCCCAGTCCAAGTAGTCCATTGCAGAGCCAACAGGAAAAGAAACACCTATCTGTTGAGGAGGAGGAAGAAGAAGAAGAAGATGCAAAGACAGATTCTTTGTTAGATCTGAACGTGAACGGCGATGATTTTGCTGCCGGGTGCAATCCAGAACTCCATCTCATAACCAATTTGGATGTAGATAGGGAAAAATCCAAAAGTTCAGAAAATTCTGGAGCTTTAGAGGCAGAGCCACGAGTATTTTCTTGCAAGTACTGTCAGAGGAAGTTTTACAGTTCGCAAGCGCTTGGAGGACACCAAAATGCGCACAAGAGGGAGAGGTTAATAGCGAAGAGAGGACAGAGGGAGATAATGGCCTCAGCTACAGACTTTGGGCTTCCTTTTCTGCATCATAATAACAGGTATACAAGTATGGCGTCTCTGCCCCTCCACGGTACTGCCGCTAATAAACCTCTTGGAATTCAGGCGCACGCCATGATTCACAAGCGTTCTCATATTTCTTCTAATTACGGGTTTGGAAACAGCCACGGAAATCATGGCTGGTCAAGACCCCTAATTGATCAGAAACCCAGAGTAGGCAAGCTAGAGATGGCTAATTTTCATAGAACAACAACGTTGGGCTTGTCATCACGAGGTAGTGTAGGAAGGTTTGAAACGGCAAAGACGACGAAGTTGGGTTCTGCAGTTAGTGATCAGATCGCTGGGTATTTGGCAACTGGAACTCTATTGAAGACTGATCAAGAAGAAACAAAGCACCTTGATTTATCCCTCAAGCTCTAAGGGCTTATTTGTATAGGATATTCAATATGTACTAGCTAGGGCCAGGCATCTTGACAAGTTTATTCTCGCATTGTCTGAAAAATAATGTTGTGGAGGATCAAACTTCTTTACTGTGAGGTAATGATCTGATATTTTCTAGAATGTCGAGTTCTTTTCTTTCCGAGACCTTGACGTGTTTACTTGTTGTGCCGATTTAGGAGGGTTTTTCAGTTATGATACCTCTCGTCAGTCACAAAACTGGCCTATAATATGCAGCAATTTGTTCCAATGTTATGCTGGAATTATTGAACTTAATTTCCACTTTCAGCTGTTGAACGGTTTGTCATCTCCAATACGAAAAGTTCATGTCTTGACCCATTCTAGATGATGTATGTTCTTGGATTAAGTTGTTCAAAAAACAATATAGTTCAGATTCGGATAGGAGCACAATTAAACACAATTCATCAGTCAAGGAATATTCCGTCAAATCAGCGACAACGCAGATTTAAACAGACAAGGATTTATGTTTTTTGAGTGCAGTGAAAAAAAAAAAAACGTAAAGGAGAAATTATGCCTGAGAATTCTTAAAATTTAGAGGGTGTTTAGATAAGAACTAAACCATAGTTTCAGAAGTTCTTTTACGATATATAAAGTAAATATATGAAAGAGTTTGTCTTAATTTGCAAAAAAGTACTTCTGAAAAATTATGCCTGGGAATTCTTAAAATTTAGAAGATGTTTGGGTAAGAATTAAACCATGGTTCTGAAGTGCTTTTACGGTATACGAAGTAAATATGTGGAAGAATTTATCTTAATTTACAAAAAAATACTTCCGAAAAGTGATTATGAGGTGTTCTAAACACCTCTTTAGATTCAGTGATGCTTCTCAATTATTGCTCAATAAGATTCTTACTTAATGTTTGAAAAAAATAACACGGACAATGAGGATGACGGCAAAAAGTGGGTACAAGGATAAACATGTGATTTTCTTGGCGGTGCATGAAAAGAAACGTGTATCTACGGTTATATGAAAAACCAGACCAGTAAGTTGGATAACAATTATACAATAGACAGATATCTTATAGGAACGAACATAATTCTGTTTCTTTGTCCTTGTGCGGAACAGAACATCAGATCTGGTCACAAAACATTAAAAAAGGAACAGAACATCAGATATAGACTTGCTCTATTATTAAGGTCATGGGCTCGTAGCATAGGAGAGTATGCTTGTCCTATATATGCGGACGCACTTACTAGGTCTCTGTCATCAAGTGGCCTCAAATCTGGGAAAGATTCGGAGATGTTGATATTTAGTAGAATAATAATGTAGCAAACGTGGATGTTAGTCATCAAAACCTGCCGTCCCTCAGTCCATGCGAAGGGTTTTGCAATTCCATGGCATTGCGTAGCTACTTCCTCTGTATTATTCCGTTCCCATCTTTTCTCTATAATAATAGCTTCGATTTTGACGGATTCACACTGTCCCCACAACATTAGGTTTGGTATGAAAAGTTGACCGGAGAATAGGGCTAAGAGATAGAGTTCATCTGTGGACGAGGCAACATTGATAGGGGAAGCATTGCACGTGAGCAACAGGGGAGAATCAGACGTTTTAGGGCCATGGACCAATAACAGAAGCATGGGCCTCTGATTTTAGGAAATGGGTTCAAGAAACGGCCGCATGATAGCGAAGTCTCTTGGGCTCAATAAGACGGAAAAATTTTGTTCCCTTGGGGAAAAAAAAAAAAAAGACAAAACGCTGAAGGTGTCAGAAAGGTGGGGGAGGGAAGCATGGGATGCGCCAGGGAGGGTGGGGGGAATCGAAATCATAATTGCAGAGGCAGGAAGCTGTTCCCTTGTAGTTCAACAAAAGCAGTGTCTATTCCTTGTGGACATTGCAGCAGCATTTTCAGTTCCCCCTTTCACATCTCCCCTTGATATCTGCGAATTCTTGTACCCTTTTGCTTTTCTCAATGCACAGTTCTAACACGCCCATTTTTATTCCTTTTAATTAATGCGTGTGTGAGTAAAATGCATAGGGCCCTCAAGGAGCTCAGCAATCGCATGTTTATGAGTGAGTCGGGTGATACTATGAACTTGGGAACGACAAGTATAAAAGGGTAAAAGGAGAAGCAAGTGTGTGATCTTCTCTGCGCTAAGAATTCCAAGTTGGTAGCAAGTAGCAACCGGTCTGAGGAAGAAAGTATGGGGGGCAAAATGTTGATAAAGAAGCTAGGAGGGTATCCCGTTTACCTCAACGTCTATGATCTCACCCCCATTAATGGCTATGCCTACTGGCTTGGCCTCGGTGTTTACCATTCTGGTGTTCAAAGTACGTTCGCACTCCACCTTCTTCTTTACTGAAACACGTGCACGCACCAGCATTAACTGATTATATTTATTATTTACAAGGATTGTCACCACAAACTTTGAATGGTTGTTTTATGTTGTTGTAGTTCACGGGGTTGAATATGGATTTGGAGCTCACGAATACGATACGACCGGCATATTTCTGGTGGAACCCAGACACTGTCCTGGTTTCACATTCAGAAAATCTATCTTCATAGGAACAACAGATCTGGGTCCTAAACATGTTTCGACATTCATGGACAAACTAGCTAATCGCTACTCTGGGAACACCTACCATCTTATCACTAAAAACTGCAACCACTTCTGCAATGATGTTTGTCTCAGATTGACAGCAAACTCTATCCCACGTTGGGTTAATCGACTTGCTCGACTTGGTAAGCGTTACTCACGCATTTCATTCTCACCAATCCCGTTTCAACCCACATTTCTTCCCTTAAAATGCATCTGTTTTAACCTGTAGGATTTCTCTGCAACTGTGTGCTTCCGCCCGATCTACAAGAAGCAAAGATTGACAATTCTCGAGGACGAGCAGGATCCGAGAAGAATAAAATTAACAAGAAAGTGAGATGCCCTGCCACCGAGTACGAGGCACCCCAGATTAAAATAGCAGTTTCTGATTATATAAGCATCGAGTTTGAAGCGACCTGATTATATTGAGAACAAGGGAAGCTGCCAACTGCCCATATCTGCTGTGTATCTTTATTCTAGGCTGGCCAATTGCAATAGCTGGCCGTTAGGAAGAGAATCTCTTTGTAATGAATGATTTCTTTTCCCATACTTGTTCCTGACTGCTCTGTTAGTGCATTGATTCAAACTATCTAGCATGATGAAGAAATATAGATACAAGAGGGACCCATTTCAGAGTCTTTGGTATGATGGCAACAAATTTGCGTGGTTCAAGTACTTCCCACCCTTCTCTAGAAACGCTGCTGGTTCGCTCATCACCATTATTGTATCTGAAAGCTTTTAATTTCGAGTGCAGACTAATTAAAATGCAACTTTAGCCCATCGGGTCCTCTGACCAAAAAAACAAACCCATCGGGTCCTGCCATCTTTCCCTCTTTTCTCTGCTTTTGCTTGCCTTTACCCTCATTGACCATGACAAATTGCCTGTGCTTTAAATAAAAGTAAAAATGAACAAGGCTCTTGGCTCCATTCCTGTTTAATTAGACAGAATACAGATACAGCTTATATGTGTGAAGAGCAAGCGACATCTGTTCATTTCCCTTTAGGAGTCAAGTCAGCGTAGCGTAGAAGCATGCCAGTACAAGTATCGACTTTTCTTACCAGTTCCTCGAAGAAGGAGCTCATATTCCTTTGCCGCTCCCACTCCTGTTTTGTGGTTATAAAACTTCAAGTGTACGACACCCGTTCTTTCTTTCTGTTCACCCATATGTGTTAATAATATATAATACTAAAGCAACAACTTGGTTGCTCACCGCGCCCTCACTTGGAACGGGGTTAGCCGCCTAGAAACCACCAACTGCAGATTCAATATAAAATTTGATATTTGCTTCCTGCTCGTGGCTTCACCACCGACCCGCTATCAAATCCAAGCCTGGATCCCGTCGCGTGTGCAGGTTGAATTTTTCTAATACCCATAACCCCTCAGCTTATACATTAACTGCAGATAAACCCCTCATCTTCAACAGATTTAAAACTGACACCCCGTTTAGATTTTGAATTTGGACCACTAACCTCTTGCCGTTAAAAAATTATTAACTTGGTAAATTACATAAAATTTTTAAATTTTTGTCAATTGAACACAGTTTTGTTTACCGTGTGTAATTTTGTCATTTTATCAATGTCAGTCCCTAATTCCAATATAGTCGCCTCCCTCTCTCAGCGTCTCTCGTAGTTTGGCTATCTATTTCAGTTTATGAAGTGTAGATCATACACCACCTTCAAAATGTTAGCTTTATACATTCTATCTCTATCATCATCTTTCAGATTTGATTGACGAAGCATATCAGATTCCACGTCATTTCCAGGTGATTATGACTAATATGGCATGGCATGCATTATGTTACACTTAACAGTTTTTTTTTTTCGTAATAACAAGGTGTTAAGTTTTAAATTTTCAAAAATAAAGAAAATTATATATAATTGACTTTTGAACGAGACTACCTACGCTTTGTCATTTTAAAAGGTCTTTGGGTAGATATAAAATCATGATTTTAAAAATATTTTTATGATATATATATATATAAAAAAAAAATTTGTTTTGATATGTGAAAAAGTGCTTTTCAAAAATAAATTAGGCAAACATCTTTTAAAATAAAAATAAGTGAAAAATGAAGGCCCAGGCCCCAAATAATAAATGATGTGTGTACAGTATACAATTAAATTACGCGGTTGTAAATTATTATTCTATTGAGAGCACTCCGCAGCACACGAAATCTAAAGCAGCAGCAGTTTTTGTTTTTTTTTTTTTTTGGTTTTAAAAGTCAGGTAGTGGGCTGAGATTAAAGTCGGAACAAAGTAAGAAACAAATGTGTGAATTGGGAAGGAAACCCAGCTTGAAAGTTGGAACTGGAAGGAAAAGCAACCGACACCACATTGGAATGATACGTCGGCTGAGGAGATTAGAGTAAAGTACTCCCTACTTATTACACTTTTCATTGCTTTTAAACCCACTGTCCACGTACCATGCATCCTCCCTCTATTTACTTCTATCCGCAAATCTTTCCCTTCCGTCTTCGTAGAAAACACAATCTCCTCCGCCTTTTACAAAATAAGACTACATTGATCCGTTGGTGTTCACAAATTCAACCACATCATCTACATGGCTCCACATCCCTCGTTTAACGGTACAAATAAAAATATATTAAACTGACAAGCATTATAAAATTCTCAGAATTCACTAAATCGTATTTTTTTCATTTCGAAAAATTAGAATATTAAGGGCGCAATACACGCCGAGGAGCAATGAAGTGGGAAATCGAATCGAGAGCATATTTCGCAGTCGACCACCATGCATCACCCATCTCCTTCTGAACTGCAACGCCACTATCAACTGTCCTCTCCCCCCTTTTCCCCCCAGTTGCGCTTTCCTATCCCACATTCCCACCACTGTTTTTTCTCTTCTCGTTTTCCACCGCCTTCACATCTCTATTCCCTATTTGCTTTTCTGTTGTCCTTTGCTTTTCCAGTTTTCCTTCTCCCTTTCCTTTTAAACCTGTTACTGCTGTTAAATCGTTACCTCGCATATGGTAGATTGTTGGTGTACCGTACAAGGCCAACTAAATTTTTGGTTCATAACGGCAACAGCAACCAAAACTACCAGAGAGAAAAGGCCCTTCCACGAACCGCAATGCCTAGAATGGGGTATTCCGATTAAAATTCCACAAATTACAACTGCTCATTACCACGACCCAATGGACGCAATTGGCAACCAGAGATTTTGGTGATTATGCTTCTCACGCAAAATAATACTCCTATTGCATAAAATTTACATTACAATACAATATATTTCACTACTGTGGAATGAAAATTCAGGAATTCTCGCTCGCGAGGAAGAAACTGTCGTACCTTATCTCAACTATGAATCTGCGTATTGAATTCTAAAATGCCGTGACTAGGTGTATTCAATCACTAATTATGTTCACGAAACAAATGGGTTAGCGGACTCTAATCTAATCTAACTGGTTAGCACCTAGAAGAACTGGATTTCACTAATCAGGGATCGGACAGAGAGCGCCCGGTGTTCACCTTTTCCAGGCATAAACGAGCAAGGAAAATCCGATGGGCACGACCAGCTCGTTCTCCTCCACACTCGACCATTCCATCACGGAGGAGCTTCCGCCAAAAGATCCCGCCGACGATGACACTGACACCGACGACGACGAGAAGCTCTTGCCTATTCTCCCCCATTCATTCAGCCCCGAATGCCAGTTTTGCTGCGTCCACAGATTCACCAAATTTCTGTCCCCTGCTACTTCCTTACCCCTTTCTTCACCTTCTTCCTCAATTTTGAACATAAAAATGGCGTGCCCATCACCGTTCTCTCTCTCGAATAGCCAATTGTAGACGTCCCACGAGATCTGAACAGGTACCCCCTCCACTTCTACCCTCTCATTTCCTCTAAATTTCCATTTCAATCGCTTGATCTGAAGCACAGCTTTCCCATCCACGCTGAAGCAGAGCCTGGAATCGTCCCTGTATCCGCAATCTATCTGTATCTCTCTCATTTTGCCCCCAAACTTCGCTCTTGTGGTGTAGATTTTGTTGGCCACCACATGCTCCCTTTTGAGAACCAGAAGCTGGGAGTTCTTGGGATCGCGAGCTTTAGTCTTGGCGTACGCATCCTTATTGAGATCGCCGACCACAAGAATCATCTCCCTGTCCACAACCAGGGCAACGTAGAAACCAGAGTGGGGCTCAGGTCCGGACCCAAATTTAGCTTTGGAGAGATTCCAGAAGATGAGAGTATTGGGGGAAAGCTTCTTAGTTCCGTGCTTTTTCCAGAACACGAAGGGCTTGATGTGGAGGTGAAAGGAAGCGGAAGTGAGAGAAGGAGGAGGAGGAGGAGGAGGGGAATCATAAAGGGGATGATGGAGGTGAAGATGGAGGGAGCGACCAAGAATGGAGCGTGACCAGGTGAGGGAAACGATGCCGGCGTCGGTGTGGTAGAGATAGGTGGTGAGGTTGGGGTTGGTGGAGAGTGGCGGCGGAGGAGGCGGGGGAGGAGCGCCGTCATTGGTGGTAGGGGAGCGGCGAAAGCAGGAAGACATTTATGATTGATGTGATTGAGTTGGATTGAGGGGTTTTAGGGGGATCTGATCTTCTGCGAGAAGAAATGGGTTTCACTTCGATGAGATTAGGAAGGGAAAGGAAGGGGCGGGGCTTTTAAGGGAGAGGGCCAGAGGGGAACCATGACTGAGAAGAAAAGAGAAGAGAAGGCCTCTGACCCATTTGGCAACAACCGGCGAAACAATCAAGAGAAGAGGACCCCACCTCGTATTTGCCCATTCAATATTTTCTCAGCAAAATAAAATGCTTGACGATACAAAAGTTGCACTGTATTGCGTTTTTAAAAAGTCTTCATCTGACGGCTCTAGTAAATTTTTAGATTCTTTTTTGTATTTCCCCCGTATTTTTATTGCATTCTATGAAATTGGTTTCTGGCAAGGAAAAACAAAATCCAGAAATGTCTACGTAATTAAAATAATACAGAAGGTTGATGGGTATAGTTTACTCATAATTAAATAAAATGCTGACTTTTAAATTGAACCAAACCACCATCGGCTTGGATTAAATGAACGGGCCTTGGCAAATCAATAAACTGTTTTGATTCTATTCAAGAATACTACCTCAGCTCCTAATTATAAAACTAGTTCACTAATTTGAGGAGATTAAAAAATAAGTTAAGTTAGTTATTTGTAACAAATAGGTGTTGTTTTTTCTCAATATCTTTACTAATCAATTGTGTTGGCTAGAACTATTATTATTAGAATACTACCTTGAAAAAAAATACACAAGTATTTAAAACAAAGTATATTAGGATCTTATATTTAATACCAAAATAAAAATCAAATAAGATCTTATATTAAGAACATAAGGTAATGGTTTTTACAAAACTGGTGTTTTATATTGACCTCTATTCCCTGAACCCAATAATGCTGGTTTTAGTTGTGTAATTTTCTTCATTTTATATAGTTGATCTTTTGACAAAAAAGAAAGAAAAAAGAAAGAGAGTTTGGAGTTATTTATAATTATGTTTCACGTAAACCAGATAAAACTCTTTTCATATTTATCTTGTATTTTGTAAATCATAATTAAAAATGTATTTATAAGTCATTAAATCTAAATTGTTTTTATTATATTCGAACCCAAAGCAAACAAAAAAAAAATTGAGCATTCCCAACTAATGCCATGGCATTCCCAAACCTTTGACTAGATTATTCTCTTTGTTGTGTTTTCCCCCCGGACCTGACAGGCATCTTTAGTGAGTTGAGATGCCATTGACGCACGGTGAAATCTTGCAATCGCTGCATACAAGAAACCTCCAATGGGCGAATTTACGGTTGGGAGGGATTAAAGTTCTGACCAAGCATTTAAAATGAAGAATAAATGTTAGAGTTGGGATTGAAAAAACTATTAAATAATATTTTGTATAAGTAATTTCTTATTGTATATGATTAGATTATCCCATGGAGGTAGAATTGAAGAATACCACATCTTCTCATGATATTTTCGAATTTCACATGTATCGATTTGTCCAATTCTAAACAACAAACAATTATTCATAATAAATAATTTTTTAATATATTTTTTTACTTTCAATTAGAATTCGTATTTTTTATTTTCAATGTTTCATATCAAATTCACCTTTCCATTCGCCAACAATTACTGAGTTTTTGAATTCGAGCTTCTATTCTGCTTTTAAGAAATACATCGACTTATTATGATATGATTTTTTTCCGGAAAAAGAAAATGGATATATATAGCCCACGTGTTACTCGCAGATTATTATAGAGCCGTCAACGAGGCCGGCGTTTTACTTTCCTTCTTTTTTTTTGGGAAAAAAATAGTCCAATTGTTCTCTCATCCAAAAGAAAAAGGAAAGGAAAAAAGTATGATGTGCTTTATACATGTATGGAGTATCTATAACAATAATAATGCAAGGCGAGAGAACTTCTCAAAAAAAAAAAAGAAGAAGAAGTTGTCGTGTTGCTTGCCTTTGTCCCGTGGAGACGGAGTGATGAAAAAGGGGGAGGAAAAGACGATGCATGTATGATGTGGACGATATTAAATGATGAGTTGTAACGCCTGGGAAGAAATGGAAAGGGCAATAGTAATATTGACAGGGCTCATCAGGCTGAAGGCTTTTAAGCTGTAAGCGTGTAGTGAAGGGCAGGGCAGTTCAGGGAGACAGCCACGACATGTAAAGAAGTTAGTAATAATTAAAGGAACAAGACAGGCGGTGGCCCACTGCTGTTGAAATCGCCAAATCTCAGTCTCAGAGAACGCAGCTATATGTAACGATTTCGAAGAAAAAAACAAGACGTGGAGTGGAGTGTGCTGCCCAGTTGGTTCGTCGCAATGAGAAAGGGAAGGCGGTAAGCCACCTGCGTGAATATGAATGGCGGTAAGCTGGAGGGAACAGAGAAACGAAACATGAAATGTTTTAAAGAGCGTCAAATCTGGCCAGCTGGTTCTGTGGGACACCTCCCATCCAAATCAACATCCTAGCTAACTCCATACACCTGTGTGCATCATTCATCGCTTCGCTGCTCCTGTTTGTTTCCTTCACGCCCTGCCCATTCAATCACCTCCCTCAAGCTTCCCCTTCCCTTCTTCTTCGCTTCAATTAAATATTGATTACTAATTGACATGAAGGGGATAAGGTGGGCGATCACAAGCTGGGGACACTAACAACGATGCAAAGCCCGACGTAACGCCAGCCAGGTCGATTGTCGCATTCCTCTTTGCAAGTGTTCCTCTTCCCTCATCAGCGTCCGGCCGCGTGGCTTTCCCTTTTCTTTTGGCCGACGCTGCGTATTTGGTTTGCAAAATATCTTTACAGCTTTGTCCTAACGCATCATCTTTATTGCATCTTCGTTGTTCTTTCAATATGCTGTCCACTCACTGAGAATTTAATTTGTATGTTTTATATCTTACATACGATTTTATCAATGCATCAATTCCGATCCTACTGTTGATATGCCCTAATTATATGCTAAACATATTTCGGCTGCAGTTCAGAGAGTGAGAGAGAGAGTTTATGGATTAATTTAATTTATGAATAAATTTTACAAAATCTATATCCTTTTTACGTGTATTTAATTTCAATGATTCAACGGATCCTCCGGGGGGAAAAACCATTGAATCAATAATAGCTAAATAATTGAAATTAGTGGTTACGCACTCTCTATTTTTCTCTCGCTGTTCTCATTTACGTAGCGACTCCAAATACTGGGGTGCATACCATTCTTCGCCGCCTGATTGTACAGGTACGTATAAATACTATTGTTTTGGGTCAACTTATCCACTAATTCATTTGGTTAGGTTTGTGAGACAAGTCTGTCGTCGTCGACTTGGTTAATTACTGGCATAAATATTTAATTCCATGTAATATTAATGTGACTACTGTCTTAACTTCAAAGCAATTACGTATACCGCGATGCATCTCTGGACCCTAAGCTACCCCGGAACTCAGAAAGAGGGTTCGACATGTTTGTTTCTCCCAGCCTCCACCCTCTAAATTAGTTTTTTGTAACTACTGTAGTCGGATATATCAGAAAGAAAGTCTAACATGTCCGCATACAATTGAGTGTTAGAATTACAATTTGGTTTGGATTTATGTTTTACAGCACAGATTAAATTTATACATATATATTGATATTTAAATGCATGTGTACTTGGTTTAAAGAGTAATTCATGCACATCAATAGTTCAGATTCTTCATCTTGTCAGACCATTTTCTGAAATTTGCCGTGTGCCTTTTTTAAAAGGATAATAATAAATTAAGTATATAAGGATAAAGCTTTCTTAAAATATGAATTCTCAATACCCTCATTTCTTTTTAATTAAGTTTCATCTTCCTATTTTGGATACGCGTTGTCCTAGTTACTCCGTATTAATTAATCTAAACTGTGTCGGAAAATGAAGTACGCTGTTTCCTTCTCTCTCTATCCGTGTGGGGGTGTATTCTTGATAATTCCAGGAACAAGTCACATATCTGGGAATTAATTAATGTCTAACGGACTCCTGTAATCATAGGGCTGGAAGGGGAGCAAGCTAAGGTGGCCCTGAGCCCAGACAGAACAGAAACCATAATGGAAACATGGAAATGACAGAAAAGGAATAGGAGACATGAAGGCACCGAATGAAAAGGACAACCTCGAGCTGCTGATGAGATGGACGCCTAAAAAATGCCGGCCGGGGATAAGAATCACACGCTGTTTAGAAGGAAAAAAAAAAACTGAACGAAAATGCATGCACTTTAATTACCACCAGAGGAGCAAAGACTTTGACGTTTGACCTGCAAATATACGTAGAAGAAAATTATAATGGGCACACACAGGTTAAGACCATTATATAAAAACCAAGCAAATAAACTTGAGGTACATGCATGCACGCAGGGGGAAGAAGAGGGACGACGACTATTCACCCCGTGACATCGTACCTTAGCTTGTTCAAGGTCCACCATGTTCTCTGTTACTGTCATCACATAAAACTTTCATCGCTGATTTTTTATTTTTTGGCCCAATCTCGACGTTGACTGACCTCATCAAAACCTAAACTTAGACTATTAATTCATGCAACAACCTGCAGTTAACTAAAACCCCACGGAGTTTCTTTCTTTGTTCTTTTGGGGTTTTGGTTTTAGTGAGCTGCTTTTATTTGTCAAACAAATCAAAACCCTTCTAATTAATTATCCCCTAGCTACTCCCCTGCGTGATGAGCACGAACTGAAGCAATTGCACTTGATTAATTATATTCATTTGGCAATGGAACTGCTTAGATTTCTATATGATCGTGAACGCCTAATTAGATCCATCAGGACATCGAAAGGGAGGGGGAATATCCATCTCATTTCGATCTTACAAGATTTTAATGCCTTTTGAAGTGAACAATCTGTGGTTTAATTTCATCTGCCACTACTATAGAACCTGTCTTATGGTTGCGATATAATATTTAACATTTGCTGGTTGGAAAACAAAAAAGCAACATATAAACGGGGAAATTAAGAACTGCTTATACGGCCTCCTAAGTAACAGTCAATTTATTTTTTCTCGGTAATATTCATGGAATATAATATGGCCTTCAAGATTGGAAAAGCGGTCCATGTTCTTGCGTTCGTCAAAATTATCTGCCCATCAGGAGCCTTTGTACCAACTTGGCGTTTTCTGGTGATGTGAAGATGGAAGACTAGCATCGGTCAAAGTAAACGCACATGCGAGAGGACAAAATCAATAAAGAAAAAAGACTATAATTGTAAAATTTTGAATGGGGGGTCTATGCGCTTGGCCAAGTGAGTGAATGCGTTATGTGTAAATAGGGAATACCGGCAGGCCAGAAATTCTTAGAGACTGTCACTTCCTCTATTGCTCTACTTGTGCTTTCGAAAAATACAATGAATCTACTTTTGGTTTGAACGTCCTTAGAAAAAAACTGAAGTTAAAAAAAAAAAAAAAAAGCAGCCCTTGGTTAACCTGAAGAAGCATGAGTGTAGATTTTAAAGGAACTGCGAAATCCATAGCTGGAAAGTCATTCCCGAATGCTACTAAATGCTAGTACTAATCAATCACACACACACACACCCAGACAAAATAGGACGCAAAAATTTAAAACAAGCAATCACTAACGAGCTCAAATTATCAAGTTTCGTAGAATACTAGAATACACGAAGAAACTGATCTATCTGATGCACGTTGAAGGTAACGTAAAAGAATGAAAATTTAAATGAGTTGTGTTTTTGTATTTCTTTTTGATTTTCAAATAATTGTATACCGTCAACTCTTACTCCGGATAAATACGATCCAACTTCCAAAGAATGGGCGCCTGGAATATCCCGAGAGATATGACGAGATATGGCTTTCTCTTTGATGGGCTTCTTAGGCTCACGAAACCCACAAATTGGGGCAAACGATAATTCCGCAATAATAAGGCCCAACATGATAAATTAATTGCCGAGTTATAGATCAGAAACTGAATATCACGGGGATCATGGTGAAGGGACTGTGAAGCCTGATAATTGTTAGATTGAGTAGGATTTAGACTTTCATATAACAATTTTCTTAAGTGGGAAAAAAATCTAAAAGGGAATTTGTGGCAGGTCACATTATATGTCCAAATATCGAATAAAAAAAAACTATATAAAATTTCATCTACATACCAAATATTCTTTTGAACTACGGAGTATGTTTTATTTTCATTTTTATATCCACCATCGAAAAACTTTTGCGAGTCGCCAAAGGGCCCTCAAGGTATTCTGGCTTTTAAGCTGAGCAGGCCCCCCAACTTTTTTTTTTTTTTTAATTTGTTTTTCTTTCCCTGCCAACGTACCTTTTTTTCTCTTTTGGATTTATGAATGACCCTCCTTCACCTGATCCAAGGCACGTTCATCAACCGCAAATGATACCCTTCTTTTCACATTAAAATAAGCTTTGTGAGTTCGGTGGCATGTTAACTCAGAAAACAAAAGGGTTTAAAGCCTTTTATGTTTGTCTCTCTCCTACCTAAATCATCATTGGCTTTGACTGCTTTTCAACAAAAACATCTCACCTTTCATACCAATTCGTTTATCTTTCTTTTTCTTCACTCTGTGAAATGCCTTTTGATTGAATTTTGTACCCCCAACATTAAATTGAGGGAGAGCCTTTTCTGTCCACCTCTTACACAGCTCATTACAGTACACCCCTGTTCATCTCTGTCTCTAACAAGAACCGGGGCTTCCATTGTTGATGGAGTATAAATGGATCAAATCTCTCATCTTTAAACTTACTCTTATCATCCTTCTTCTTAGCTGTACTGAATTCTTAAAACATGGATAAACACAAAAGTATAGTGATAATCATGAAGAGTCAGAATTACAAAAAAATGGGTCCAATATATATCTTATCAGACCATCAAATCATTCACTGATCCTTATTTGATTAACCCAGCCTAACTAAAAAGGAAATGTTGCACTAGGAAGATGCTGCATAAAAGCATTTGCCCCCTCTCTTTCTTTGTCTGTGTGACAAGGTACGAGTAAATTTGACCTAATCCAGCAAACTGTTGGAGTTTCCATGAGGCGAACCTTAAAAGCATCCTTGACGCATCCATCTGGCTCACAAGATTCAGACTGTGGATGATGAGAGACTCACTAACATGCCATGATTTCAAAAGTTAAACGAAATAGTGAGAGCAAGCTACTTTTAGTGTATGATGCTTGTGGGGGGCAAAATCAATTCCAACACACAGGAGAATAATCATGAAGTTTCATTGATAGAGATGTGACACCAAAACTCCAACATACTAATTCGAAAGAAGTTGAAGCCTGCGAGGCCTCAATAATAAGGAATCAAATTGAATGCTTTGCTGCTACAATACAAGACGAGTGACAGACAAGTGTACATTTATGTCTTTGGGAAGAATGAAATGCTATTTTGAATTGAAGTTAATGATATCACTTATTTCCTATTGAATGCCCCACAGATTTTGTGATCAATAATGTTAAAGACGCCATCGAAATCTCTGTAATCTCATTAGAGGAACTGATTGGAATGTGTATTGATGATAACTAGGTAGAAATGGAAAATAAGAAAACTGCAGCAATCATATGAATTCCGCTGCAGAGATACATAATTGGTTCAATTATAATTCTCCCTGAGCTTGTTCCGCTTAATCATGTGGAATTTGAGTGGGCATTTCCTCCAAAAGATACAATAATTGTTATTGAGAAGTGCAGAATCACATAATTATTGTGAAACTGAATAAGATTTGGAGTTAATGAAGATGACGTGAGACTATCAAAGATGATTAGGAAAAAATTAGCCTTTAATGGAAGTTTGAAGACGGAATTAAGAAACCGAAACGGTAAAGATGAAAGTTACAGCTGATTGAAGTTCCAATAGTAGCAGGGATGGCCAGAAAACGACATATTCGCTTTTGAAATATACGTGAAATCCTCAGCAATCAGACTGTTTTTATTCGTCCGTTTTCCACACGCTGATGATGACGACGACTCCCTTTCTGGATTACCAACTCGATTTAGTGATTTTGATCACACTATCTTTTTTATGTTTGTATTCGAACAGTTTCAAAGATTCTGCTTTACACTTTAAGATTCTTTTACTGAAAACACAAGCACCTCTCTGTTCGCTCACTTTTCCTCCACGTAAAAACCATCTCGATACAAGTCACAGGCAATGAACAAGGACCCAAGTAGTAATTTTCTACAAGAAGTTATAAGAAGGGAGATTGGGATTAGAGACATGTCGGATCAGTATAACAGAGGAGCCAAATGGGACCCCTGGATATAAATAATTGATCACGCACTCGTTTCAGCTGGGGTTATTCTCTTCAACTAAAAGTTATCAAATTTAAAAAGGTCCTCATTTTCTTTCTCAAAATGTTATCCCATACAGCAACAATAAATATTTCTTTCCTGCAGCATATCAAAACCCTATTGTTTCATCTAAATAACCCATAAATACTTGCTAACTACTACGCTTTTCACTCCAGTCCCGGCAGATGGTACAACTCTTACATTCCAAATTTTACTTATCACTTGTGCTGCGTTTGAAAGTGGCGCAAGTGACACTTTTGCTAAAATGGTTGTTTTCACCGGCAGTGCATGGAGGTATCTGATATACGTTGAGTGGCTGTTACTTTGGGAAAAGGACCAAGTTGCCGTGCTTTCAAAAAGACAGGGGATATACTGAGGGAGAATTAGATACAACACTATCTGTTATCTAGTTTAAAGCACTATCAATTATGTTCTGTGACACGATTGAATCATACCTGGATAATCACACATTTCATTCCCCATGCCAAATTGAATCTAGTTAATTCTACTTTATATCACCATGGGTGCAGGATAAAGTGATAATTTTTATTTATATTAATTTGGGAACCAAAGAAAATGCAATGATTGAGCTAGAATGAAGAGAAGTATACGGGTGCATAAAATTCTACGTTGTTTGAAATAAAGAGATACGGCCACTTTCTAAAAAGCCGTGCCCTTTGACAAACCTTCCAGTACATATCAGAGTATCTCTGCAATCCGCTACTACAAACGCTAATTGCAGAGGCTATGATCTAAGAACAAGGCCATACATGAAACATAAACAACAATTTCATGGATCACAACACAATTGGCTGTACATATAGCATTATCTAATGGGTCACTTGGAAGGTTTCCTGGATAATCTAGGGTAGGTGAATTAATCACTTCAAGAGGCTGGGAATTAAGAAGAATGGGTTAATTAGTAGAATAAGCGTCTTTTCCTAGAAGAATTTGAAGCAGCAAAATGTTGAAATTGTTGAGCATATTAAGGAGGCAACATTACTGAGATGGCATGACAGAACAGAGCTCAATAGACCCATAATCAAGAAGCTCTTCAATCATTTGCTCTATATGATCCTCTTCAAGAGGCTTGAATTGCTCACCACTTTCCACCTTCACCTTCTTCACACCCCACTTTGCCTCTGATTCTTCAGTCTCTTCCTTCTCCTCCTTGGCTGTCTTCCCTTCCAACATTGTAATATTGTTCTCTCTCCTTTTCACAGTGGACGAGTTGCTTGTACTCGTGGACACTACATTTGGCGAAGTTACTCGCAGAGGTTCCGGCACTGTAGGTCTTGTCATTTGAAGCGAAGCCATATAACATCTATGCAGTTTAGCGGTCAAAGTTGCGGAGAGAAGCTTAGAAGATGATGATTGAGACGCATTGGGGTTGTAAGGGAAATTGGTTCTTGCTCTCGGACCACACATCAGCCTCGCTGCTTCATCGTATGCTCTGGCTGCATCTTCTGCAGTTTCAAATGTACCAAGCCATATCCTCGTCTTCCTGCACGAAACAGAACCTTGTGATTTAGTATGATGTACTGAAACAAGTCCAACTGAGACGCAAATGAAACGTGCATGGACGTGAAAACTAAGGTGAGCTTACAATAGAGGGTGGCGGATTTCAGAGACCCAAGACCCCCAATGCCTTTGTCGGACGCCTCGATACCGTTGTTGTGGTCTGGCCATGCTAGGGAAAAGACGAAACGTATTCTTGCTCGCAAAGTGTTTATGAAAGTGTTTGTCTCCCAACACCAGAAGGAGGAGAGGAGGGTATTTGTAGTTGAGTTCTTTCACAGTCACACGCCCCCTTTTTCTTACCATTCTGGCACCCAATTGTGCACGGTGGGCCCAACTTGGATTTTGATTTTTCAGCTCTTACTGTGTTTTTCTTTTCTTTTTTAACCGGCAAATGGCTATATTGTAATTTGAACCTCATGATTATTGAATAAGTATTTCCCAATCTTCAAGTGACAATTCAAGTAGCCAGGCAAGTTGAAATCACATGTCTCTCCGTCTCTGATTAAGATATAAACTGGAAACAGCATCGCCCTGTTATCTAAGGTCGCAATCTTATAGATTCTTCTCATGTGACTATGCGGGTAAGGGGGCAATTGTAGATAACGACTAGTTTGGAGTAGTCCCTGTGTTGTGAAGTTTGAACTGCATTATCTTTTAACATATATATATATATATATATATCATTCTCAAATATATAAATAAAGCACCCATTGCCTTGCCAGTTGCAGCCAAAGAATGGAAACCCTATAATTGAAGTTTCTGCATCATCTTGTCTGTTTATATGAGAGTTAAGGACCTTGGTCTGGGCCTTCTGGAGACCAAGATAAGGATCAAATTCTGCAACTCGAAAGTAGGATCAGGTTAAGGCAACAGTTCACCATTACTGTTGCCGAAATAGTAGAATATGCAGTCAATGTAATTATGTAAATATTATGATTTGGTCAAACTCAAGTTTGAGACTCATCAATTAAAGACTAAACATTCTTGAACCGTCATAATTAGCCCAACAGATCAAATCTGTCATCTCCAGTATTATCAGCCCAAATTGATGCGTCTGACGTGAGCATCAGCAACAGCCTCCCTTTTTTCAATTCGTTTATTTCTTCATGAAAAAATTTGCAAAACGAAATAGCTGTGCGCTCAAAGAGCAATCCTTCAGTTGCAGGCAAATTGCTGAGAAATAATAATGTATAGTTTGATTAGTTAGTGACTTCAAGTTGAGACTTTTCTTCGTTTGTGTTATTCTTCATGATGTTATAATGCTTAGTGCCTTGGATGCATCAACAGTTTCTCCAGGTTCTTGAATTTAATCGACAATGGCCCCTGTTCTTGCAGCTACTATACGCCATGACAGATCCATCTATCAAGGGATTAAGCTTCTTGGCTAGTTTCTGTGACCTGAGATAAAATGGTAATGAAAAGTCCTGAGAAAGATAAGTTAACGTTAAATTTAAAGGGTAATATAAGCAAAGCCTTCTTACCACTTTCTTAATGCTGCAAATTAAGCAACATGCCTCTTTCAGTAATTACAGACATGACCACTGTAATATGTTAAACAATTCTGCACTACTCATATTGGTCGCATCACTCACTCTCATTCCCATCTGTGATCTGTCTGTCCCACGGGCCAAACTCCCGATGGCAAAATACCTTCTCATTTGAATAAAACAATGATGGGGTCAGAGGGTGAAGTCATGCCGGCTGCCCACCCGCCACGTGTCGCAACGTAATCAGATGATGACCAATATTTTGCTGTTCATTTTATCGGGGAACCAAAATCACTTTTACGGCAGAATATATTATAACTGTTCGGACTTTTAGGAGAAGGAAAAGAGAGAATATTTGGTCCTCGCTCCTTGCATCTTTTTAGCTGCACGTTGCTGTTGGATTGCCTAGTTACCCAAAGGAAGAATCAAAGGTAAAACTGTTTTACTTTTTGTTTCTTTGTTAAGTATCTGAAGCAAAAGAGCACAGTGATGAATGAGAGGAAAAAATAATAGGGGAAGGGAGACATAAGAGAACAAGCAGCATGTATGCGAAGGATTAATTAGATTTGGAGCCTTACCGATATCCCTATCTATGTCTCTCTCAGCCTAGCCTCTCTGTGTACCATTCTTTATTTATATTTTGATTAATTTTAATATAAATAAAACTTTTGGATGGGCTTACAGCTAACATCAAACCGATATGCACAAGAGGTCAAGAGAGTAAGATATAGATAAATTTGTTGGGACCCATGAATGAATACATACGCGTGAAGTGGGTCCAGACTCCAGAAACATAACATGGGTGATCAAAACAAAAACCTAGGTATGCCCTTCATGAGTCTATGAAGATCCTCACACAGAGCAGTGCTCCACATGCAAAATCCATTGAATAGAGCTGCCGAAGTTAAGGATGGGCTGCTTGTTGGGGCGGGAATAACTATAACATGAGATTTTCTCAGCCAACCACACCTATATAACTTGATGAGAAGCTAGCTAGCTTGTGTCTTTTTCTGTGTGTCGAGTCCTAACTTGAACGCCCATATGCATGCACGTATTATATTCGCGGGCTTCACTTGTCTGTTTCTGTCTTTGATATTTTTTCTTCTTTTGTTTAGGTCTCGCGGTTGGATGTATACGCATCAACGGGGGAAGCAGCTGGAGGCGATGAAGTTCACAGATTGGCGATGGCCAACACTTGACTTTCTCGTTCGCTGAGGGTTTTTCGGGCGACTGAAGGTCAAACTGGAATTTCATCGTCATCAAAACGCGGTTTCGTTACAGAACGAGTAAAATTATATTTAAAAAAAAAAACTCAAGAGTAATTCAAGGTGATGTGACAATGATATGTGGTTCTTCACATGGGATATGTTTTCTTTTCTTTTCTTTTCTTTTTTTTTAACACCACACATATCCAACAACTTATCTTTACGACTGAACGTCACGAACAAGATTATATGCAATTTCCATCCCCATGTGCGAGTTCCTATTTTGTCTCCACCGGTAACGTGTATTTTGCAAACTTAATAACTTACACATAATTGGTGCTCGATCATATATATTTATGCATATACTTTCCGGAACGCTTCTGTTTAGTGAATGTAACAAAATCTCTATTTTTATTACTGCTTTTCTTCTTCCTGTTTTTCAAAGGAGCACAGGAATGCATGTAACTGTGTTCCCGCTACGGCATAAAAGAAAAGGGCCATGAATGTGGCAGAGAAAAGAGTCAGCGGTCAGAGTTTGTCCCCATCGAAGTTAGTCAAGGGGAGGCACGTGCTTGGTCTGAAATTAAAACTACCAAGACCGAGTAAACAAGCCACCATTTGAAAAAAAAAAAAAAAATGGTTGTGTGTTTTGTTGTGTTTCTGGCATAGTATCATGAAGTTAAGTGATGGATCGATGGAACATTAAGTAGGTGGTTTATGAAAGAAGTTATGAAAATAACAAGACATTTAATTGTGAATCGATCGAAGCGGTCAATTCAACTGTTGTCACGGAGAGAGCAGAGGAGATGACAGCTAAGTGAATGGCTTTAAATAAGGGACTCATGTTTCAAAATTACAAGAGATTGCGATGATTAAGGAAGGCAGGCCAAGACAATACCAAAAAGCTCTGCCCATGTGACTTCACTTCTAAGCAAAAGCCAAGGTCGCTCTTACGATCGACCTCTCACATTTGATGGAACCAGCTAAATTTTCCCTACTAAAACCGCGTTGCTTGTCAAATTAAGATCTCACTGTTTCTCATGTCATATTTCGCTCAATAAACAAATATGAAAACTGTATTTTCAGATGTAAATAATAACGTCATTTTTATAATGCCGCATCGTATCATTGAATCCAAGTTTTTATAACATATCATATTTATTAAAGGGCGTGTAATATAGATATAAAATATTCATTCTTCTTCCCAAATAGAATGGAGTTTCCTGTTTTCAATTCTGTACGTGACATCTCTCTGAATGGAGCTCAGAGGAAAGAAGTAACTACTTTGTCATTATCGGCGGTCTTGGGCCTCACTAAATATTCAAGTATGCCCCGCAATCAAAGATCTCTTGTGTTTTAACCCAAAATAAAAAAGTTCTTGTGTTACCCTATTGCTGGGCCGTTGAATAAGTACAGCTTCTGAGGAACTCATGTAAGCCCAATATTGTTTCCCAGACCCAAGACACAAGTGAGACCAAAAGCCCAATGTCGATCCCGTTCCAAACAATAAGGTCGATGCTTCCCTGTTCCTTTGGAAGGACCCAAAATTCCGGAACCTCCTCTATCGGATTTTCAGTCCATGTGCTCCCTTCTGTCCTCCACGTAATTTTTTAAAGACAAATGAAAAATACTTGTTGTTAGAAACGGAGGAAGAGAGCGGTGGCTAGGGTTTGTGGTAGCTGGGGCAGTGAGGCGCAGTTGAAGTGAGAATGGTAGGCGTCGCTGATCCGAAGAAGCTTAAAGAAATGGTGTTTTGAGGATTTGTAAAGTATGATACGATTGACGTTTGTTAATTTGATTGCAGCCGTCGCACAAGACGTTCAGAGTGAAGAAGAAGCTGGCCAAGAAGATGAGGCAGAACAGGCCTATCCCCTACTGGATCCGCATGAGGACTGATAATACCATCAGGTTCTTGCCTCTTTCTTCTTCCCTTTTTACCCTCTCCTCATCTTTTCCCTGATTCTCTCTCTTTTCTGTTTCAGATACAACGCCAAGCGCCGCCACTGGCGTCGGACCAAGCTCGGATTTTGAGGTGTTTCCCCCTATTTTCCTCTTTCATTAGAATGTCCCTGAGCTCGGATGACGTCTCCTGTTTTTGTGATTTAAGAACCACTTTGTAATGAACACACTGTACTCCATTAATGGGTCTCAACTCCTCTGACACATTCAAGTAATTTGAATTCTTCTCGTAAAACATTCTGATTTCTATTTGTGCGCCTGTCATAACAACACGATATATTCAGATAGATTCCCGGATGCTTTTCGGACGAACTGCTTGATAAACTTTTAGAAGAGAGTTTGGCGAAGAATTTGTGTTGGTTGAACGCGGGGCTGGACCCGCACCATTCAGGTTCGGTTTATTCACCTCCTAAATTCATCTATATATTCATAAAAATTATCCATCTTTTACTTGGTTGGATTTGATGGATTACATGTATGTTGGTTTATCCGGAATGGTGATGACATGGTTTTTGATGGCGGTGCGCGATCTAGATACAGAGCGCGATGTGGATATGCGATTTTGTCTTGATATTTTTTTCAGCACACCGGCCCATTTACTATTCTCATCTTAAGCAGTATAATGTTCAAGGAAGAATCATAAAAACAAAAAGGGGGGGGGGGGGACTCAGTAACACCCGGGCGTTAAAGGGAAAAACATCTGCAGATTGGAGCCTGTTGTTCCGCGTGATTTGTGTGTGTTCCGTTTAATGTCACTTGAATCAAGTATGGCCTTGCAACTAGAAGTTCGAACATAGTCTGTAATTTCTATTTTCACAAGATTGCTTACGCTGGTGGCATTTGAAGAAAACTAAGCCTCACTCTGTTTTCTATCTGGCTTTGCCCCTCTTTGATGTTTCTTGTACTCATTCCTTCGTTACACTTTGAATGAAATTTCCATTTCCTTTGGAAAAAGAAAAACTAAACCCATGGGTTTTTTTTTTTTTGGGGGGGGTGGAAGAACAATGGGGAAGGAAACACTAGCAGGGGAGTTTTTTTACCTCCTGATATTATTTCCTCTCTAATTTTACGCCAAACATAAAGCATAGGGTAAAAAAAATGAAGATGTAGAATTAGAAAATAGGGAAAATGACTAAAAAAGGAATTTAAATATAGGAAATTTCAAGGACAGCTAATACTTCAAAATTATTGGAAATGAGAAAAAAAAATCTAACCTAGAATTATGAAAATGTAGGGGTCGAGAGACAACGGACAATGTAGAACGAAAGAAGGAAGATGATGTCCCCCCCCCCCCTCCCCAAAAAATTCGTGGCCGTTGATGGGTGCCGACTTCGCACCATGAAATTGCGTAATCTGGATTGATTGTAGTAGTTGTGTTTGTGGGAGTTTGGATTACCATGATGTCAGCTCTAATCACAAAGCCCAAGCTGCAAAGCTACGGATGAGCATAAGGACGCACAGGAAAGATCCCGAAGAATTCAATTTTTTTTTTTTAAATGGAGAATGGTGCTTAAAGTTTTATATCCATTTCTTTTTATTAAAATTTTACAACATGCTCATCTTTTTTTTTTTTAAATCAAATTCATTAAAATCTTTTCTCCTTTCTTTTTTATCCTTCTCCGGGCACTCGTACAGTGGACTAAGCACAAATTCTAATATCCGTGGGGCTAAAACATCTGCTGGAAAGCAGTGGCCCAAGTTGGTGAGAGATCCCATTGTCATGAGGGACTCTGATGTGTAAGTTTGCAATCCACCTTTTATTTCCCCTTTATCGCATGGACTTTTTGATCGGATTGCTGCAAGTGAAAAAAGGGGGGGGGGGGGGGGAAAAAAAGCCAAGACACTCCATTGTGAAAGTTATTTATTAAGATATAAATCATATATTTTTACACTAATTGATTAGCCTGGTGGGGAGCGAAAACGTGAAGCTAAATAATTTAAGAATTGACTTAATTGAGATGACTAGTGGAAGTGATGAAGGGGCGCTATAGATAATTTATAGTTCAGCTGGTTTTTCTCCTTTCGACCATGGATTTAGCAGCGCCAGTTTTACAGTGACATCAGAAGGAAAGGAACGTGGCCAACAGTTGAATATCATGACTCAGAACTCAGCGATTCGCAGAGGGGAATAAAAAAGAATGAATGAAAAAAGCCACGTGGCGGGAAAATACTAGACGATAATTCCCGGCAGGCAGCAAGCACTATCCCAAAAAGATGATTTTCCCCCTAAGATGACCCCAGTATTTACACTGCACCAGGCACTTCTTCACTCTCGTCCCATTTCGTGTTTTCTCAACATTATAACTAAGCCTGCTTTGCTGCTTCGTGCTCTTCGCCCCTTCTCCCCTTCGCTTCTTCTCTTCTAAACCTACCTTTGATCGCATCGCCCAATCTTCGACCCACAGGCGTGCTAGTTCGGTTCGTCTCCCTTATAAACTCTGTTGTTACTTTCATTTTCTGCTTCGCGAGTTCAGATCGCTGTAGCTTAAACTTTCTGATAAATTTCTTTTTCTTCTTCCTCTTGCCAGATACTTTCTGATTCACCGACAATGGCTTCCGCAATGCTTTCTATAACTTCGCCCTCAACCTCCGCCTCACTCTCGATGCATGACTCTCACAAGGTATCCCGGCTTGATTCTGTAAATTTTCAATCCGTTACCTCCCCTTCCTTGGCTTTAGTCTGCTGGCTAGAAATGCGCCAAAAGCCTGATTTGTCTTACTACTTCCCTGTTTTATGTTTTGCACCCAATGGTTTCGGCATAAAACTTCATTGTATCATTGTGTTTATAATTTGACACTTCATGTTAATTCTCTCTGTCATAATTTTTTCACCTCGCGATTTCAATAGGGAAAGCCGAACTTTGGAGGTAGTGGTCTGAGATTTAGCAAGGAAAAAGGCAACCCTTTCTCATCTGCCAAGGTATAGTATAAGGAACTAAAGTTTTTACTTCTGCTACAATCCATCTATTATGCCTACTATACTTAACTTTTCATTCTATGATCATTATTCTGCTTCCTGATCTTATTTCTGTCAATTCTGGCTCAGTCTTCTGGCCGGATATCGATGACTGTTGCCGTTAACGTTTCTCGATTTGAGGGTATTCCAATGGCTCCCCCTGATCCAATTCTTGGAGTTTCTGAAGCATTTAGAGCAGACACGAACGAAGTCAAACTCAATCTCGGAGTTGGGGCCTACAGAACTGAAGATCTACAGCCTTACGTGCTTAATGTTGTCAAGAGGGTCAGTGTTCCGTTTTTGACGCATGACCAATGGGCATCCCCTTTTTTAACATTACCATTTCACTTCTCTTATATTTGTTCCCAACTTTACTTCATGTTGGGTATTCCAAAACATGGAGTTAAATAGGAATTTTTCCATTTTATAGGCAGAGAAACTTATGCTGGAACGAGGAGAAAACAAAGAGGTATTTTGCTTTGCATTGATAGCCTTTCTTTGTGGTCTGAAACTATTGTTATTTGGATTATTGACTCCGATCCAATTTTTACTTGCAGTACCTTCCCATTGAGGGTTTGGCTGCATTTAATAAGGCAACTGCAGAGCTATTACTTGGAGCGGACAACCCTGTGATCAAACAACAAAGAGTATGTAACGGACTCAGAAAATATAAATGTCTTAATGATATTATATTCATTGGGTATAACTTTTAAGTAGCAAATAATCACTTTAGCTTTTATTTATATTCCACAAATTCACCCAGGTTGCAACTGTCCAAGGTCTTTCTGGAACTGGTTCTCTGCGATTAGCTGCAGCTCTGATAGAAAGATACTTTCCTGGAGCAAAAGTTCTGATATCATCTCCAACGTGGGGTGAGTACATAGTTCTTCTTCTGCTCAACATCGTTGCAACATTTGTTTTCAAAGATTACAATTCATTGATAACAATATGGGCCTCTTCCAGGTAATCACAAGAATATTTTCAATGATGCTAGAGTTCCATGGTCTGAGTATAGATATTACGATCCTAGGACAGTTGGTTTGGATTTTGAGGGGATGATAGCAGATATTGAGGTAATGTCCTGATTCAGATTCTACTTTGTATGAACTTATGATAGTTTTGTTGGTGGAAAAAACTAATAAGTGTTTTTCTTAAGCTATCTGGGATGGGAAATTGATGCTCAAGGTAGTTTAATTTAATCCTTCTCTCCCTCTCTCTCTAAAAACAGATATGACGGTTACCTCCTGATGCAAAGTTAACTTTATATGCTAAGAACAGTATTAATTTAATTGTGTTGGATGAGAATTGATTTCATTGATGTTTTATTCGAAGCTCCTTTTTTCTTTAGCATAATCTTGAGTCTTGACAACCATTACTGTTGGTATGCCATATCAGTGTAATACTATGCATTCATTTCATGATTTAGTATCAGGAGCTTGGGCATTCTGTTGCCAAAGCCAACAGACATTGTGACACACACACATTCATTGTTTTATAAGGTTGATTCAATTCACCTGGTTGGCCGTTTTCTATTTTTATAGGCAGCTCCTGAAGGATCTTTTGTCTTACTTCATGGATGTGCTCATAACCCTACTGGTATTGACCCAACACCTGAACAGTGGGAAAAAATAGCTGATGTTATTCAGCAAAAGAACCACATTCCATTTTTTGACGTAGCCTACCAGGTACTGATGTTTCAGAGAATATCAATTATTTAAGTGTATTTCTGGAAACTAGAAAGCATGTATGCGATACCTTTGTCATATGTGAAATGATGAAATTAGTCTAACATAGTGAATGATACAGATTTGTTTAGATAATAAAGATGAATTCTAAACAGTTGGGTATTGTTGAAGCCCTGACATGCTTATTGATATCTAAAGTCATTCAATTTTAGGGGTTTGCTAGTGGAAGCCTTGATGAAGATGCAGCATCAGTGAGATTGTTTGTAGCACGTGGCATGGAAGTTCTGGTTGCTCAGTCATACAGTAAGAATCTGGGTCTTTATGCTGAAAGGATTGGAGCAATAAACCTCATTTCCTCATCACCAGAAGCTGCAGCAAGGTATGAGAAATTTTAACTGCTTGCTCATATCTGATGTTGCTCTTGTATGACTATGTGCATGCCTGAGGAAAGGGGGATGTATAAAAACTACCTCTGCATGTGATTCTTGTTAATCCTGTTCAACTTTTCTTCCTTTGCCGTAAAAGGGATCTTTCTACTAATGAGTGTAGGCAGTAGGAAATAATAGGAATCTTTAACATTGAAATACTTGTTAGTATAGCTGGCTTTCCCGTTTTTAGTAATTGCGGGTAGGTATTTATACATGCCTGGATTTTCTACTTTTTCTTCCTAAAATTTCCTCAAGCTTTGATATACGGAAACGTCTTTCCTACTATGTTTTCATGCTAATTGCTGCGCCAGTATCAAAAAATGCTCAGATGTTACAAGACAGAAGATGCCTCATTTTGTTTTGGGGAATTTATGCCGGACTGATCCTGTCTTGGTCAACAATCTGCTAATTAAATTATATATTTCAGGGTAAAAAGTCAACTGAAAAGGCTTGCCCGACCAATGTACTCTAATCCCCCTGTTCATGGAGCTAGGATTGTCGCCAATGTTGTTGGAGACCCAGCTCTCTTCAATGAATGGAAAGCAGAGATGGAAATGATGGCTGGAAGGATCAAGAATGTAAGACAAAATCTATTTGATAGCATTTCTTCGAAGGACAAGAGTGGAAAGGATTGGTCATTTATCCTTAAGCAAATAGGCATGTTCTCGTACACAGGCTTGGACAAAAACCAGGTAACACTTATTGTCACACGTATACATTCTCCCTTTTGTCCTTGTATCTGTTTTGTTCTAGGTAGCAGTTACTTTTGACAGCCAATGCTATTTTGCTAACCCATGACCTTCTTGTGACGATGTTCCCCGATCCTTAAGTAGCATGTTGACGTGTCTGTGCTATCTGCATTCTTGAACAACCCCTCTATTATTAACTCCCTTTTGCCCTTACAGTTTCCTTCCAAAGTAGTGAAACCTTAAACTACGAATCTTCATAGCACTCGTGTGCCCTATTATTTGTTTCTGCAGCTTCACAATTTTGACTGTGCCATCCCGGATGTATAATGCATGTTTTACTTCTGTCTGAACAGAGTGAGAATATGACAAATAAGTGGCACGTATACATGACAAAGGATGGGAGGATTTCCCTGGCGGGTTTGTCTTTGGCCAAATGTGACTACCTTGCAGATGCTATTATTGATTCCTTCCACAATGTCAGCTGAAACTCGGTGAAATTTGCCGTAGAGCCTCACTTTATTTTTTTCCCTCCCTTTGGCGAGTAATAACATGCTGCCATGTGTTTAGACATACATGAAAATAATACAATTGTGTTGCCATGATCGGCGTACATTGGTGTACCTGAAAGTTCCATTAGAAATTTTGTAACCTCAAACCTGAAGCGAGTTGAATCAAAAGTATTTATGCATGATGATCAATTGTTCGTGTGATTAGGGATTACTGGTTACTAGAACATTAAAAAATAGTTGGACGATGGGACTAAACAAGTTAATTTTTTTCCTCAAGTCTTCAATAATGCGGCATTGAATAATTCACTTAAGTTCTAATGGAATCTTTGTAACATGCAATTAAAATACTTAAGGATATATTTGGTAAAAATGAAGTGTGTATCAAGAAATGGAGAAGGAGAGGGAATCTTTTAGTAAGAAGAACGAGACAAGTAATAGCTTGGGGCTATTCGTACAATCATGCGGTGGACTTCCTTAGCGCCAGGAGGCATTGAGACATCATCATTGGATGCCGTTTCTTAGCAGAAAAGGAGAGTTGCAATCCCCATGCGTATTAATGGGAAATAATGTGGGAATTCTTTCAAGTTTGAAGCAGACCGTAACTTATCAAAGGAGAAAAGGTGCACAGTATACAAAATCAAATTTCCTCTATATATTGTTCTTCGTTGAAGTTACTTTACATGCCGCATCATCATTAGCAACTCCAAACTCATCAACCTCTGATGGGGCCTACATTCCCTGACGAACGCTGCGGGTATTACACAAAGCAACGGGTTTGCCAAAGACGTCTGAGTGATCATCCGAGTCTATAACGGTATAACCCAAGCGATTGGTCAGCGTCAGAAGTTAATAGTAACTATAATTATGTTGAACAAAGAGGCTGTGACGATTGTGGAATTCTGAGTGTTCCTCCAAGCTCTACAGGCACAAGAGGGATGAGAGAATGGAGCACATCTGTAATCAGCGGACGATAACTCGGTTCTGGTTGCACGCACAGCGCCGCCACAGCTGCAACCTACAACATCAGTGTATGTAGCATTTAAGAATTCGCTGAATCAATAACAAGATTTTATGAATTCCGAGGTTTATTAGGAACCTGACACAAATGCTTGAGATCCATTGTATTCTTGATTATGGGATCCACAATGTTGGGAAGCTTGGATCTGTCGCTGAGCTGTGGCATCGCCTGCAATCATCAATGCGCCTCTGTTATTTCCAGATGCAAAACCTAATGGCTTTTCATCATAATATAAAGGCATCAAAAGCAGTTTCCTACCCATGTGACAAGAGACCGGCACTGTGTTGGTGTTAGCTTTTCCACTGGCTTCCTCCCCAACACCAGTTCTAGAAGCACCACTCCGAATGCATACACATCGCTTTTATCAGTTAATTTACCTGTAAATATATGAAAACTTCAATTTCTTCGCTTCCACATAATGGGTATGTCATTGTTAAGTGCACTCTAATCTTGTTTATATCTAACCCATTTCTCCTTATTCCTTAAAAATCAGTGGAAGCAGAGCATATACAAGACATATACCATTCAACAGTCAAAACATATAAAAATCATTATCCACTAGTACGGCCTGTTATAGCATTTCCCTTGAGGGAAGGCTCTGTAATTTTCCCATCTTCTCACGATAATCAAATCCGCCTCACCCATACTTCTCTCACATCAGTTGAGATCAGGTTTCAGTTTCGATTACCCGTATGATTATTTTATCACTGAAAATTACCAACCTGAGCAACTGGGCTCAAGAGATCTTAAAGTGGGAGTCACCACATTCGAATTTAATAATCTACTCTAATAAATGGCCTGCCTTCTGTCAGGTGCGGAAGACAGGCACCAGGTGCACGCAGATCATGAGTTTCGAGCCTCATGACATCATTAAAGTCCTCATGCGTCCAAAAGAAACAATATATTGGATCTGGTTTGCTGGTAGCTCAGCAATATATGTGAAGCATGCAGCAAAATGTCAGAACAACGCATATGGCGGGAAAGGATAACAATTTTTTTCCCCCCAAAAAAAGGATAACAAAATTTGATTGGCTTACCATCTAATATATACTCGGGAGCTACATATCCCAATGTGCCTGAGAGTTTTATGTCATTCTTGTATTGGGACCCATCAGCTACGGCAAGACCGAAATCACACAGCTGAATCCACCAATACGTACATAAGCTCACCCAGAAACAAGCTTTGGTGAATGCAATTAATTATCAAGTCAACGTATTGCAGAAATTCTAAAGTATTTACTGGTAGTAGGTCAAAGGGAGGAAAAATATATGGACAGACAGTAACTTGAACAAGATGTTACCTTGGCATTGAAATTTGCGTCTAAAAGAATATTAGATGATTTCAGATCTCTATGGATCACTGCGGGGTTACAGATTTCATGCAGATATTCTAATCCTCTGGTTGACAGACAGCAAACGTAACTCGCTATGTTAATACAGGCATCAAGCACAAGAACGGTCCAACTTTGATTAAGGAAGCTAACCTCGCTGTGTCGAGAGCAATCTTCATCCTCATGTGCCAAGTCAACGCCGAGCCATGATATGGTCCTTTGAAGTTAATAATTAACAGTATGCGGAAGATAAAATTGGTATCAATAAATAACCTCACGATCTTCAAACTTCATCTTCTTTTGGGAAAATAAGGCACTAGATAAATTGTTTTACCATGTAACTGAGTCTCTAATGATCCATTTCGCATTAATTCATAGACAATAAACTTCGTGTCGCCATTACTGCTGCAACCCAGCAAAGAGATTATATTTGGATGCTGAATTTTACATAACAAGTCCACCTCGTTCTGCAATTTCGTGTAATCACTTAGCTGGGTTTCAAAAACAGAGAAGCAGAATGAATTATTAGCAGATATAACCTGAAATTCTCTCTGAGCGTCCTGACTTTCACAGTGCAATTTTTTGACGGCAACATCCAAGTTATTGTGTAATCGAGCCTTGTAAACGCATCCAAATCCGCCCTCTCCCAATATATTACTTTCCAGAAAATTGTTCGTCGCTTTTTCTATCGTCTTATGATCAAATACTATGGAAACAGACCCCTTCTCACCATTCATCTTGAGTGAACTAAATTTTCTCAGAAATGGGGTTCTTGCAAGCCCTTTCTCCGCATCTTGGACATCAACAGAAGACGGAGTGAAAAACAAAACTCAGAAAATAATGGTGTAGCATAACAGAGGTAGAATAGTGAAAAACCTGAACTTTGGACATCTTTCCTCTTTAATTTGGACGGGGACTTCTCGTAACAAACGCAGAGGCATAAGAAGGACAAAATGACTGCACCAAGTGCAGTGCCGGCTACGACGAGAGCTATTACCACCTTCATGTCTGAATCTGTTCCGTTCCGTTCATTCTCCACCTGAATATCTGATCATCATGGGACGTGACGTGAGTGAGCTTCAACAACATGGAAAGGTTTTAACCGTTTCAAAGATTTAATAAGCTGAGAGAGCGTAGGCGAAAGAAATATGGTCCATATCAATAAATGCCGGTGGCAAGTTTTGAAATTTTAAATTTGATACTGTGGAAATGAAATGACATATATCGCATGCGCAGAGACCGGTAGGCGATAGAGACAGCGAACAAAACAAAGAGGAAGGTGGGTGAAAAACTGAAAATAGAACGAGTACCTGGAGAAAATGCCGCCATTGATGCTGGGGACACAGGTGGTGGGACTGTAGGTGACAAAAGGAGAGGTTCGGCGGCAACAGAAACCGACATGGGGCCTTGAAGAAAAGGAAACAATAGAAGAAGCAACAAAAGAAGCTTCATTTTTATGGAGTCTTCAACGTGCCAAGAAGAAAACATGGTGAGACTTGGTGGAGGCCTTCGAAATTGATACGGAAAAGGGCTCTGAGTTGTACAAAGGCTCAACCTTTTCTCATAGTCTGTGATTGCAGTGCTTCTCCTAACTGTCTTTCTCACTCGTTCTGTGTGCGCGCAGAAGCACAGAGAATTGTGGAGAGCGGAGAGTGAATATGTTATAATGGGGCTGAGCGCGCCACAACCACGTGGACTCGTGCGTTCCTGCAGCATCCACACTCATATTTTCTTCTCTCCTATTGATACATATCATGCCTCTTGTATTATAAAATTATAGATATAGAAGATGACAGACCCCGCCATTTTCTATGAGTTTTATATCATCGGCTAAACAAAAACTGGCATGCAAATCGGGGGGAACGATATCGTTTCTGGATTATATTTTCACCGTCTTTCAATATGCGTCTTTTTCGCATAATAATAACTTGAGGCCATAATATATGCCATTGAATGAAACACAGTGAAAACAACAAATCAAATTATGGTGGAGTCATCTTTAAAATGTGCAGGAGTGGGGATTTCGATTCTTTGAGAAGGCATATTAAAAAGAAGAAAACAGGAGAAAAGGAGGGGACGAAACCACACATTTGTCGTGCTGCTGGAGTGTTTGATAAATTTCCTTTTCACTTAAAAAAAAAAAAACAGAGAGAGAGAGTGTTTGATAAGGCCATTGCAAGTGACGTGAGGATCTCAGAAACTGGTTTTGAGAAGAGCAAGAAACAATGTGACACAAATTATATTCAAATAAACACACATAAATGACACATATTAGAACTCTTTTAACCTCCGCTGTATCTGAGGCAGTGGCAAGCAGCACAGCATTCAACATGCCCATGGTTTGGTGATTCCAAATTTTTCTTCGTGGCACGACCCACCCATGGGCCTGACCCGATTGTAAGGCCCATATCGGAGCTGATTCCATTGAAGCCCATCCAAGTGGTGCCTGTGTCCCCGTTATGATTCCGATTAAACAAATCTCTCTGATTAAATATGTAATTTTGCCGGCGTACTTTGTGTCAATTGATCTCTTACAGTAACTTTCAAGTCTTGAGAAATGAGGTAAAAATAAGCAAAGCGAAATGATTCATGTGAATAAACCCCAAGTACTGGGGGAAATTACAGGTTGAAGTCGGCTTGTGGGGAAAGGCTGGGCGATGGGCGATGGCGGTTTGAATAAAAGTCACAGACTCGGAAAAGCAGGTTATATATTATAATGCCCACACCCCCCTCCTTTTTCTTTTTTTTTTTCCCCCCCCCCCCCCCCTGCCCGGTATAGATAATGCCCTTTCTGCCCCTGCGCGTTCACATTCTTCTGATGATACGATGTTGGGCTTTTCTGGAGAGAGAAAAAAATTGAAAGGGATAGACAAACATAACGCGCCGTTTCAGCAATGGGCAGGCAGTCACCAATGAGAAATTGAAAACGAAAGAGAATAAATGGAGGAAAAAATATAAAAGAAACAAATCATTAAAATTTTATTAGGGAAAAATATGACAAATTTTTATATATAACAAATGCAAGTAATTTGAAAATTCTATTTCCAGTGATCCGATTTAAATATTTTCCACTAGTAAAATTTTGAGGAATTTTTTCCCCAATTTTCTCATGATTCATGAATGCATGAATAAAGTTAAAACAAAAAAAAAAAGTAGAAAAATAAAGAAAGGTGGGGGGGAACTTTCGGACCTCAACGACCGGCAGCTGAGGCCGCCTTCTAAGAAGGTCGGTTCCCCGTTCCCGCCACGTCATCCAATTCTTACTTACCACTTGTCTTCCCCCAACGGGCCTCTTCTTTTTATTCCACCAATGCCCCCCTTTCTCCACTTTTTCCAGCTTTTCCCCACTTTACGAACCAAGAAGCGACACCCGCGCTTTCCTCTTTGGCGGATGTCACAATCGCCTTCTTTTACTGTTTTGTGAAACAGAAACACCCCCCATGTTTATTTCCCCTTCCTAATATTAGATAATATAAAACTGTTTAAACAACTTATAAATAATTTTTTAATTATAATTTATAAAATATAAAATTATTATGCAAAAAAATTTATCTCAATTCATATAAAATGTATTTCCAAGTAATTTTGTATCTGATGCCTTCTCATAGTTTCATTTGTTGTCTGCGGCTCCGATTTCATGCGTGGTTCCTCTTGGCTAATTCATTGATTTGAATTAATTACAAAATACGGAAATTGGATGGCAGCCTGTGTAATTAAGGGCAGGAATGAGGGGTAAGTGTGGAGTTTGAGGATAAGCATATCACCCGATGTTACGAGCCCACGTCGGACGACCCCTCCTCCCTCTTCCACCTACGACTGCGTTTTAGGTGCACCCATATTATTTCACGCGCTTTCCTCGCCTCTCCCTCACGCTCTTCTGGCAACGCGTATCCTCCGCCAGCTCCCATTTCATGATTGAGTTTGTCCGCGCGTGGAATACACGCATTCGGGTTCGGAGTGCTGCAAGACTTTGTGCCTTTTTGTGGACTCCTCTGCTCTGCCCTTACAAATTGAAGTCCTTGCTTCTCTTCTCGTTGCTCATTGTATAATCCATCTTCTTGTATCAGATCTGCTCAACAATCCCCTTTGATTTTTTTCCCTATCTTCTCAATCCCTCCCTTCTTCTGCTTGATTTCTGGTCTTTGATTATCCTCCCAGATGGGTGTCGCCGTTATCAATCCTCGAGATTGCTTAAACAATTCATCTTTTCCCCAACCCCTTCCCTCTTCTCTCCCCAGAATGAAAGTTTTGACGTCTCACCAGACCACAAACCCTAAAGCGAACCGGAGCAGCCGCAGCCGCCCCAACACCCGTCCCAAGCGGAGCTCCTCACGTCCCCACGATGATGAGCGCCCGACCCGCTCAACGTCCGCGTTCATGGTCAAACCGCAGCCCCATAAACCTGTCATGGGTCAAATAAAAATCCTCAAACGTGGTGAACTGCTAACCGACGCTCAGACTCCGGCTCCTGCTCCTGCTCCGGCTCCCGTCGTCGAGCGGGCAGATCTGTTAAAGACAGACCTGGAATCGATGGCCAGGATGGTTCCGAATCCTGAACCAGCTCCTGTGGAAGGACTTGTGGGATTTTATGCTGGATCCTCTATGTTTGTGGCATCGCCGCCGCCCAGTTCAGTCCCCTTGCCTGCTTTTTTCACTAAGAAGGCAGTCAGTGACGCTACGAGCGACCTGCGGAGGATTCTGCGGTTGGATCTGCAGTGACTTTACTTATTCTGTGATTGGAAGGACTTGGACACTGGTCTTTGGTGATTGGGGCTTGTAACCCTCGATCTTCTCTTATTTTTTCAGCGGGAAGATGGGGTGGACGGCTCTAATTATTTTGACGCTCTGTTCAGACTACCACCGTACATAGGATTATTAGGATTTAGACCTGAGTAGATGCTTCAGCTTTTTCTTGTTCGATCTTTTGTTGGATCTGGTGGTAGGATTTGATTAGGTTGTTTTGTTTACAATTGTATGAAAAGTAGCTCGTCTTGTGTTCTGTAGTTGCCCGTAGCAGCAGGTATCCAGCATATAGAACTTGCCAATGTCTGTCCTGTCATACGTATTTTGTTTAGTGAAAATGTTAATTCCTTTCTTATCGTAATACAAAGTTGTGTGCTTTCTCCGATTTCCTCTTACCCTAAGCCTGGATCATAGTTTATACGTGGCTTGTGTGCGCTTCCGGAATAATTTGCTTCTGATGTAAGAATGTTATAAGATGAATTGGTTGATGATAGAACTAATGAAAGAGAAGCTTGATATTTTGGGAGGCGAGGCCGGCTTTGTGATGACAAGTCACGAGATCACCATAAAATAAGGAACATACCTTTCCCATAATGAATTGATATTTCTGGGAGATCACGCGGGCTCTCCCACCGCAAGTCAGGACTCCCCCGGTAATCTATAAAATAATAATAATGAAATCAGGGAAGCAACGAATCATTGTGGTATTTTATTGCCACCTAATTAGTGATTTGCCGCTGGTTTTGATTTTCTTTTTTTTGGGACCAGCAAATGGTTTTGATTTTAAAAAACCACACCCCTTGCTTATGTGGTGTGTTTTGGAGCGTTCAGGAATCGACATGGTCAACTTCTGTAGCACCTCCCTCTCTTTTGCTGCTGACCCTTGTTCATACTTTGGCACACGGTACATTTTCTTTCTTCAACCCCGAACGGTAACGACGAGACAATTTGATCAAATGGTCATTTCCTATGATGGCCCATCATGAACTGTTTGGGGAGAAAATTGACGGTGGCTGACAAGAGATTAGTTATCATTTCAAATCAGAGAGTACCCAAATGCAAGTTAGTTGACAAAAGATTGGATGGATCTTTTCGGCTGACATGTAAGGGAAAACTAATAAAATGCATAAAATAAAAAATATATGAATAGGAAACCCCGACGAACACCCCATGGGAAAATATAATTTGTAAATAATTATAATTATAATAATTACAATTAATGTGATTGAGTCGGGCTTAAATAAAATAATGAGTTATTCTAAATAGAGAGCACAAAACCAATCATAATAAGATTATATTCAATTGCGCCAACACCATCAGATTCAAAATTGTCGGGGTAGAGATTAGCTTGAGTTTCGATTACCGCAGTATGTGATCTACCAGAATATGTGACTTCGTATATAAGTCTGGTTAGCGTGAGTTATGCTAATTGGAAAGTAGATGGAGGGAGAGGCGGCCGATTGTGAGTTTAGATTCTGCTGGCCTTTAGAAAAGTAAACTTGCATCTGATCGATTTACATAATCTCTGATAATTTTACCGAGTATCCTGAAGTACTGCTATTATCAAGAATTTTGGGAAGGGAAGATATTTTCCTCTGCCACCTACTATTCATCATGGCATTTGAAAGTAAAACTTCATTCAAATTTTAATATTCTTTATCGCCATGTTTTTATTAATGCGCTCGTTAGACTTGAACGACCCACTTCTTTTTCCCCACTGACAAAAGTTGATTAATGGGTTGCGTGAGTTGACACTAGCGGCTTGTTTATGTTGGCACTTAATCAGGACACAGCAATAGACCCGATGCTCTGAGGAGGGGAAAGTCTTGAAATTTTAAATTGAAGAATCTATACTTTAAAGTAAGAAGATCATTTTTTTTCTCTAAAGGCTGAATCAATAAAAACAAATACTGCCAAAGAGCATTCTCTCTGTCCTTCGGAGGCAGCCGTTCTTTGAAACTGTTCGAGATTAAGAAAATTTCCGGAGATGGGGAATGGTTATTGTTAATTTTCTTCGAGCAAGGTAATTAATCTGAAAAAGTATACAGATAAATTGAATTCATTGGGTTGGTCTGAGAGGTATGAGATGAAGAGCGTAGAAGAGAGGGAGACGTGAGGTCGCCGAAAGGCAGCTTTTGACATTCACGCTTTTGCTTTTAGGGTAATTCTCTCATTATTATAGCTTTCCTTTCTCTTCTCCGGGACCAATATATTCTCTCCCATTCACGCTTTTGCTAGGCATTTTTGTAATTATGATTGAAGCCGGTATTAAAAACAAAACAAAAACATAATAATAATTTGAATTCCAATATTCAATATTCATGTTAATGTTTATAAACTCTCACGAAATCCCTTCTATTAAATTCAACGAAACGCCCTGATCTCGTTGCAATTTCGTTCAGCTTCAGGGATAATAAACAAGTGCGGGAAAACTAGTCGATTTGTTTACGTCAATGAACGAATTATTGAGTAGTACTGTTAATTTGTGTGGATTGGAGAGAACTGTGGCCGTGATTCCTCAAGAAATTCATCGACATCCGTCAGTCTCCCATCTTCTTTATGAGATATTGGGCCAGTTTGGCATTACTCTAAAAATCACTTATAAATACTCCTCCGGTCCTAATTATAAGACCCAATTGATTTATTTGAGGAGATTAAGGAAGTAAGTTAAGTTGATTATTTATAATAAATAAGTGTTGTTATTCCTAAAATATCCTTGCTAATTAAGTATATTGGCTAAAACTATCATTATTAGAAGGATTATCTTGGAAAAAATGCATAAATATAAGAGAGAAAATGGATTGGGTCTTATAATTAGGACCAAATAAAAAGTCAAATTGAGTCTTATAATAAGGATCGGAGGAGTATATTTTCTATAAGTCGAGACACAATTTTTTTCACAAATTTATTTTATATTTTATAAATTATAATTAAAAAGTTGTTTATAAGCTGTTTTTGTTATGTACACTGCACAGTGCAACTAAATTTGCAAGCGAAGATTCTAAATTTTATTGTCATTCAAAATGAAAAGATGCTCTGCGTCTGCGCTGTTGAGAAAATGGAGAGATGTCTCATTTCCTGATGATTTTTTATTTCTTCCAGAAAAAAAAAAAAAAAAAAGGTGCTCGCAACTTTTTTCTCCAGTGCAGCGTATAGTGAGTGTGCTGGTTTGGTAAAACTTTTTACTCAGACGACAACTCATGACCCTTTAAAGAGAAGTCGTGGGATTTACCGATTTAACTCCAAATAGGCATTTTTTTTTATTATATGGAGGAAAGTTAGGTTAGGAGTAATTTTTTCAAAAAAGGCTGCTTATAACTGATAATCTCATATAACAATAAAAATATATGCATCTGACAAAATAAACTTGAAAATTTTATTATAAATGTGTTCTCTATAAATATACAGTATTAGAATGCTCATCTTGATTGTGCAGAGTAACAAAACAAACTAATTTGCTGCATGATAAAAGGAATGCTTTGGAGGGAAAATCACAAATTTGTCATTCATGGCAGCATATAAATTTACACTGTACTTGATCTGCCCAGAGAGCAGATCAGGAAATTTTTAATGGGAGGGTGAAACGAAAAATATCTAACGGGGCAGGATTGAAATTCTATTTCAGAAAACTGTGAGCCATGCATTGGCAGCACAAGAGAGCATCTTCCTTGAAAATGTTAGTGTGATAATAATCACAATGTGCAGTACAGAAATATTACCGAGGAATTAAAAACTTAGATTTCTTCAATTTACTGCTATCAACCGATTTATATTCAGATTATCAGATATTATTGGACCTCTAATACTGAAAAATTATCCACAGCTTCAATGAAGGAAGACATAAATATAAAGAGTTTTTGAGGAATTTAATTTTTTAACGAATTCAACATGTAAACGTCGCTACTTGATTTACAAATATAAAAATTTAATTTGTAAGTACAAATAATTAAATTCAACTCATAACACATGCAAAAATAAATCAGAACTTTTGTACACTTTTTTGTATTTAATATAATTTTTTTCTCTCAAATTTGTTATCGTTTTGATTTTGGTCACCTAATAGGTAAAATAATCTAAATTTTTATTGAATTATCAGGGGGAATGTTTTAAATAAAAAAAACTTGATAACCAAAATTTATTGTTTAAAATTTGAGAGACTGAAATCAAAACGAGGACAAATTTAAGAGGTAAAAGATTGAGTTAATGCTGAATTTTTTATCTGGAAGTTATAAGTAATTTTGCCTCGCTAAAATGCTTTCTAATGAAAATGCTTGGCAAACGATTTTACTAATGATTATTTAGCCCTGATCGTAATTTTTTATGAAAGTTCATTGACAGGTGCTATCATTTATACAAGTCACGCAGAAATATACCATAATTAATCATTCACGCCATGCCATATGTTTAACTTCATTTTTTAAAAATTTAATTTATCTTGCTGGAGAAAAGCTACTTTCACATATTCTCGGAGTGTTCTTATTCGACTGAGGCAATTGAGGCACGCATCACTGTTTTATAGTTGATAAAGTGTGTCAGACGATGTGTTAATTCTTGACCTCTTTATTGTTGTAATCGTATTTTTAAAATAGAAACGCTCTTTTACTGATTAAATGGCGGGGGTTTTGTCACTTAACCAATTGCAATTAGAATTATTTTCCTCACGCATGGAGTAATCTAGCTTAGAGGAGTTGTTTTTACCCTCGCTGCTTGGAGATGGCAGGGTATAGTTTGTCCATCTAATACCAATGCGGGTGTTTGGTTTTTCTGAAAATACTTTTTAAAAACAAGTCGAGATAAAAAATTTTTTTTTATATAACATAAAATTATTTTTAAAATAATAGTTTGATTTCTATCTAAACACTTCTTAAATAAAACATTTACTTTATTTCGTCGTCGTTGTTAGATTTTTCAGAAGTTATCCATCCACTTCAGCCATTAGGAATGCAGAATACAGGAACAACGCCGTGAATTAAAACAGGAATCGACCAACAAACGTCTTCTCAAGACTTGGCTCTCATGCAACTCATTTACCATCAGCAACAAAGTTCCTTCTTTCTGGATGTTACTGCCCACTGTTGGGGTCGGGTGACACAGACATTGTTAAACGAAATTACCTTGTGAAAAAAATGTTTTTATCCCTTAAAAAGACTGCAAAGTAAAGAAAATAATGAACAGAAATAGGATATCTATTAGTATAAAACTATACAAACCCACGTAAACATAAAAATAGGAGAAGAAATGAAATAGAATAATAAAATTAAGTCAAGCATATGGAATTATATAAATTGATAAGCGGCGTAATTAAGGAAAATGAATGTTTGTCAACTAGGAATAAAAATGGTGGTTAAAAAAAAAAGCGCAGGAGATGAATGATGAGTGAGGGAAGTGAAAATGAGGAAGGTGCCACATGTCGGGGGTGGGCCCCAAAGCACCCAAGAAGAGAAGAGTGAGACCCACAGGGGTGAGGCGCCATAACCTTACTATCGATGACCAACTGCACAAAAAACGAATAACTGGAATCTACTCCATCCTCTCCACCACACAAGATCCAACCCTCCTCCCCCCTCCCCCTCCCCCCCCCCCTTTCTCACCTCCCCCCCCCCTCCCTCTCCCTCCCTCTATATATATATGCACATACCTTTTCCTGTCATTCTCTTACTCTTCTTTTCTCCCTCTACTCCTTCCTCTCCACCCTTCCTCCCTCTCCCTGCACACTCCGTCTCCCTCCCTCTCTCTCTCTTATTCTCTTCCCACACTGCCACGCCATGGTGAACGACGAGTGGATAGGAGCGGCCATGACTAATGACATGGTGGTGGTCGAGCTCCTGATTCATCTCCGCCAGTCCCAAGCTGCCCCCAAATCTCGCCCTCTGACCGCCGCCGCCGCCCCCCTCTCTTGGGGTCTCAAGCAGCCGCGCTCTAGGCTCGCACCCAGATGGAAGGACGCCGATTCTACCAGATGTAGCCCCACCACGCCCCTCTCTTGGAGTGGCGCCGCCTCTCCCTCCATCACCGCTGATGGTTGCGAAGAATCTAGCCGTCCCTCCCTTGTTTCTCAACAAGCATCCAGATCCAAGGTTGGTCCCATCTCTTTCTGTATTTCTTCACTCCTCCGTCTCCGTCTCCGCGAATCTCACCCCCATCTTCGTGCCACCCGATCTCTGTGGGGTGGCGCCTCCGAATTTGCCTTGCTTGACCCGAACATCATCCTCATATACCATACTTAATTCGGGTGAGGGTGTGGTGTCATCTTGCGATTTTGGGTGGCTTAATGTGCCGATGACGCATTATCGTCTTCAGAACCGTCACCGTCCTCTAATCGCGCATATTTCCAGTTCTTCTGTTGACCACACCAGCAGGGACAAATCTGTCCCGTTAGAATTTTCAGTTTTTTTTTTTTTTGGTTTCTAATTTGGTTCCATCACTGAAATTGATTATTGTGACGGTTCTTGTTCTTGAAATAAGCAAATGATTAAATAATCAAGAGTAAGTCTTTCTGGGGCGAGTGAAGGGGGAGGATTTGAGATATTTGGGCAAGTGTGAGGCGATGAGTAGAAGCATCGGGAGAAAAGAAAAGAAAAGAGATGGCGTTTTCATCTCGCCTCTTTTATCGGGAAAATGACAAAAAACACCCTGGGAAATGCTAGGTGTTGGATGGGTGAAGTGAAAGTGATGGAATCCGGCGCTTTCGGGTTAGATTATAGAAGTGAGGTGCGGAGGGTCTAGTTGGATATTCAAGTGTAGATCTGGATCCATTGGCAGGGTTTGGGCAGGAAACAGGTAGGGGAAGAGATGGGTGGTTTTGTGCGTCGATGCGGTGGCGGACGACGTTGATAGCGGCGTCTTATCGCCTTCACAGGTGGAATACTCCATTTTATGTCTCTTACCTTCTTCTATCTTCATAAAATTACTAATTACAGGGGGTGGGTCCTCCCTACTTGGCATGTCATTATGTCACGTGACCTCACCATCACGTGCCCGGTATCCGGCGCGGCCGACTCCGAGTGGTAGGTCGCTTTAGACCATTGTTTCTGCAGATGCGAACGCTTTCTTCATACCTCTACCGCAATTTGTTTTGTTGATTATTGATTTCCAAGCGTCAACATTTGATATCTTCTGGGCTCCCGGTCTTTTCCATGCCCTTGGACATTTCGAGGGCCCGCGCCTCACTCACTTTTCCTTTTTTAGTTTTTCTGTGGTCAAACTCCCTTGTATTTTAGTTTTACAGAGGGGGTGCTGTATTTTAGTGCGACTCGATTGTGATTTTGATTGTCTTTTTTTTTTCATTGTATGCTTTTTTTCTGGGTTGATAGCCTAATTATTTTATTCCTTCTAAGCTTTCAGGCTTCGGCTTCTGCTACGAGTGCATGTACTGGGAACTCTGCCTCCACCAAGAGGTGTAGAAAAAACAAGGTAAAGCTGCCCATTCCTTTTCCTCATAAATTTATGTAAGTGCCGTTCACTGTGGTCCATATGATATCTGAGTTGGCAAGCCAACTTCCTCTGATTGGCTGCGCTCATGTCATGTGTAAGTGCGTTCATCGTGATTCTTTTGGCCATCTTTTAGACCTTTGCTGAATTGAAGGAGGAGGAGAGCGTTCTGCTGAAGGAAAGGACACATTTAGAGAAGGTATCCATGGGGGGACCTTGCCTGGATTTTTTTTCCCCCTCAAAAAGAATATATTTTTGCCCTCCCCCGCGTTTCTCCGACTCCTTCTATGCTGCCTATGCCTGATTTCTAATGTCCCTCTTAATGTGCCAGGAGTTAGCAACTCTGAGTGCAACTTTTAACGAGCAGAGGGCTAGAAATGAGAGCTTGAAGAGGATTAAGGTAAAATGGAGGGTTCTTGATCCATCTCTCTTTCCCCACCTTGAGTTTGTGGGGGACTTGTGTTTCTGATACCCTGTTTTGTTGTCATTCACAGTTTGATTTAGGTGCCACATGTAAGAACAGTCCGAGTTCAGCATCCGGTGAAAATACGCTTTGTAAGGTGCAAACGCGAACAGCAGAGGACGGTAGTGATCCACAATCAGATTCGAAGGCAGGCCGGACCGAATCATCCGGGGAAAGTGGCTTCTTGATCCCAGATCTCAATATGATGCCATCCGAGGGTGATTCCTCTCATGTGGAATGATGGGTCGAGATATGGCCCTTCTGCTGTTTAAAACAGAGCCCTAGAGCCAGCTGGGAAGAGCTTTCATGGGAAGCCACAATTCCGCAAACAATGTACAGGCCCATGGGAGAGGCAGAAACTTAATGGACCGAGTAAGCAGATCATGGGGCAACTTGAACGCCGCTTGCCCATTCTTGTTCACGATGGTTTAGTGTAGTCATCCTACTGGCCAATAATTAAAGGCTGTAGAGATATTAATGTTGCAGGTGTCCGAAATTTCTTGTGGGGCAAAAGTAAAACCTCTTTACTTTTTTGATCTCCGGATTCTTGTTTCTTCTTCAATGTATTATTCTTTGTATTTTTTTTCCTAATTCTATTTAGTATAAAGTTAAAAAAATTTATATATATATAAATCCAAGAGAGAGTAAAATCTAAATATATTCATTATTTAAAAGTTATTTTTTCTCTTCAAGTTTTGTTCGCGATGTAATGTCGTGCTATTTTAAATAAACAAATAATAATTGTAACTTCTTTGGACCAAAAACAATAATCAACTTGAAATTTGAAACGTGATGTGTATTGGAAAATATAATAAACATGTGAATTAGGAGTTAGGACAATTGAATTGAAATGAAAAAGGTTAAAAATTCTTCGATTTGATTAAAGTTAGTTTGGTTTGTCTTGTACTATTCGCTGAATCCATAGGTTGCTTCGTCTCCACTTGTCTCGTACTCTCAAGATGGATATAGCACTTTTCCATGGGATATCATTTACCTAATCTCTGAAAGCATGAAGGGTGTGACGCTGCAACCCCTCAAAGCTCAAAGCCCCGTCCCCTATTGCGAGGATGGATTCCCTAGTTGCAGAAGGGCGGTTTAAAATGATTGGCTTCGCCTGGTTTACTCGGATCCTCTGTCAGAATCATTCGCTCTCTCAATCAATCAATATGCCTATGAAAGAAGAAAGTTGTCGGAAGAGTGAGATGTGGATAATTATGCTTGTTTTCATTTGGGCTAAGATCCACAGAACATTGTTGTTTGTAAAGTGAATTGGACTCTTTTGACCAAAAAAAAAGGTAAATTGGACTCGATAAGTAAGAAACAGCACATTCCCACTTAAACCAGAACGGATAAGTTAGTGGAATGGCTCTCTCGGGAAATCCAAATTCTCTCGTTCCTTCTTCCCCGGAAGAAAGCGACCTTGTGGCTCGGAGTTCAAAGAAGATTAAGAAAGTGATAATGGAGGGACAGCAGAATATTCTTGGGGGTCATTGGCCCCAGCTGGGATCAAACCAGAATGATAACGCTAAGAGAGGAACCTCTTTTGCTGATAAGCTCAAAGGTATCAACAGACAGAATGACGAACAAGAGGAAGACATGGAAGATGTCGGAGATACACAATCTGAGTCTCACATGTCTCAGGACTCGGAACAAGCCAATGACTCAGAGGAAGAACCACCTTGCAAGACTATAGAGCATCCTGATAGGAACTTCCCTACTTTCTGTTTTTCTGGCAGGGTGAAGAAACGTCTTTACAGAGCCTGGAACAAGGCGGTTATTGTCAAGCTACTGGATAGGAACATTGGTTACAAGGCTTTATTAACTCGTCTTCAAACTCTATGGGCAAAAAGAGGGGTTATAAGTCTCATAAACATAGGTTATGGATTCTTTATCGTCAAACTCACGAACAGGGAGGATTATTTCAATGCTCTCACAGGGGGTCCATGGATGATCTATGATCATTACCTAACTGTTCGTCCTTGGGAACCCAGATTCAAACCTTCTCAAGCAACCATTAATAAAGTTGCAGTATGGGTCCGTCTACCAAGAGTCTCACTTGAATACTATGATGAAGTGGCGTTAACCTATATAGGCAACCGGATTGGGGAGACCTTGAAAATCGATATAAACACTTCTTGTCAGCTTAGAGGACATTATGCTCGCATCTGTGTTTTAGTGGATTTAGGGAAACAATTGATGTCAGGATTTTCGCTGGATGGGGAGGACTATTATCTGGAATATGAAGGGCTGCATTTGCTCTGTTCAAATTGTGGCGTGTATGGGCATAGATGTGAGACTTGTCCAACAAAAATGAAAATACCAGAGATGAATGATAATGCAGGGAGCAGTAAAAAAGATGGAACTAGCCATGGTGAGTTTCAACAAGAACCTCCCTCTTACGTTCAGGATCATTGGCGAGTTGTTCAAAAAACACGCCGGCAAAGGAAGAGCAGAGACACGAAGATGGGAGTGAACCAGCCGAAAAACAGGGGATCACGATTCAACGTCCTTGCTGACGTGGAAGAAAGCCGTGAGGATATGGATAGGGCCGTTGTTCCGTACCTGAGCAACGTGCAGGGAGACATTCAGGGAGACGCACATCATTTCTCCTCACCTCAGCGCACTATACAGGTACGACCTCAAAAAGCTAAACCACAGAACGCAACAAAAAAGAGGCAGGAAACCACCGAAGGCACGCTCGCTGGGAAGTTAGTGATATCACAAAGGGGAAAAAAAGAGGAAAATCAAGAGGATAGCCTAATTAAAAGAATTGAGAAAAGGACGCGTGAAATGTACCAGGGTGAGATGAGAAGTGGAGAAATTATGATGGCATCAGTGGGGTCACAGAGTGAGGAAGTAGAGAATGAAAGGGAGGAAGGGGACCCAATTAATGTGGATGAAGATCTGGACCCACAGACTAGAAGCCCAGGCCGGATCATTAATCCTCATATTGAACCAGGGGAGGCCCAAATGCAAGTGGACTCGAGAGACCATGCGAGTGGGCTGGAATGTGACACCCCTTCAGAGGTTGACCCAACGGAGGATAAGTGGAATGTAGGAACTATTGTTCCAGAGACTCCTTCTGAAGCTTGATGGGCTTGCTTCCTTTCTATTCCATTTTTCTTATGGATAGTCTTTTTTATTGGAACACTCGAGGGGCCTGTGATTCGGGGCTCCTTAGAAATCTAAAAGTAGTTTGTGATGGGCCTAAGCCCATTTTTATTGGTCTGGCTGAAACAAGATGTGAAAGGGAAACTCGCTTTCGATGTCTTGCTTCCTTGGGTTTCGATGGTATAGGTGTATCGCCAAGTAACGGACGTTCTGGGGGGCTGGTAATAGCTTGGAAGAGTGCGCAGATTCAGATCTCCATTATAGAACAAGACCGACAATTTTTCCATGTTCTGTGTGAGATTCCCGACCGACAAACCTTTATGATGACTGTAGTCTATGTCTCACCGAATATCGAATCCAGAACACAGATATGGGAAAAGCTGAAAATCATATCATCTTCCTCCTCCTTACCTTGGATAGTAATGGGAGATTTCAATGATATCCTGGAAGCTACAGATCGAACTGGAGGGGCGCGCATCTGCCACAACAGGATAAATTGGTTCCAGGACAGAGTCAGCGAGTGTGGACTTGTAGATATGGGTTTCAAAGGTCCAAAATTTACCTGGCGTGGTCCTCTTCGCCCAGGATGCTCACGGTTATATGAACGGCTGGATCGAGCTCTTTGTAATTCAAATTTTCTGACTACTTTTCCAGATAGCTTTCTTAAGGTACTTCCTCGAACGAAATTCTCTGATCATAATCCCATCTCCCTTTAATTTTATTCCCCTGTGTCTGTATACATGCCGAAGCCTTTTCGATTTGAAGCAATGTGGCTCTCACATGATAATTTCAAGGACCTTTTAAAAGATAACTGGTCGGTATCTGATAATATCAACGAGTCTCTGGTGATTTTTAAAAATTCGGTATCTGTCTGGAATAAGGAAGTTTTCGGGTTCGTGGAAAAAAGGAAGAGAATTATCTTGGCAAGATTAAATGGTATTCAACATTCGCCTGCCTATCCTTTTTCTGGTTTTCTGATGAATCTTGAACAGTCTCTTCAACTGGAACTGGATGAAATTCTCAAACTTGAGGAACTGAAATGGTTCCAAAAGTCTAGAGCTCAATGGATTTCAAAGGGTGATCGTAACACTCGGTATTACCATCTCAAAACAAATGTTAGAAGAAGGAGGAATAGAGTAATCACCCTAAAAAATGAAGCAGGTGATTGGTTAGAAGGGGATGAAGTGTTAAGAAAGCATGTGGTCCAGTATTTCCAAAACCTTTTTCAAATGGATAACGAGCAATCCTATTTGCTGCAAACTGATACGAATTTTCCCATCTTGGATAATGATAATTTAACTACCCTGAATTCTTTGCCTGATGATGAGGAAATTAAAGCTGCCTTGTTTGCAATGGGCCCCTATAAGGCCCCAGGATATGATGGATTTTCGCCTATCTTTTATCAAGCAAATTGGGATACTGTAGGACCCTCTATTTGCAATTTTGTTAAAGCTGGGTTCAATCAGGAGCTACCTCTCCAGGAAGCCAATAGGACCCTAATCTCACTAATTCCAAAAAGAGATAATCCGGAGTTAGTGAGCCACTTTCGGCCTATTTCACTGTGCTCTGTTCATTATAAGTGCTTGACGAAAGTAATTACTAATAGACTGAAGGGACTGATGGATGGGCTGATATCTCCTTTCCAGTCTGGTTTTATCAAAGGTAGGCATATTCAAGATAACATAGTGGTGGGACAGGAGATACTTCACATAATGAAGAAAGCCAAAGGTCGAAAAGGCCTAATGGCAATTAAAATAGATTTTGAAAAAGCTTACGATAGACTGAGATGGGATTTTTTGAAGTGTGTGTTGACTGATGTGGGCTTAGATGACAAGTTCATCAATTTAATTATGAATTGTGTCACCTCTGTCTCCTATAATGTTTTATGGAATGGCACTTATACTGATTTTTTCTTTCCAAAAAGGGGACTTAGACAGGGTGACCCTATTTCTCCTTTACTTTTTGTATTGTGCATGGACAGAATTTCTCATATGATTGCTGATGCTGTTGGTAATGGGGCTTGGAAACCTATTCTGGTTACTAGAGAAGGGCCTGCCATATCTCACCTCATGTTTGCAGATGATTTATTACTCTTTGGAGAGGCTACAGAGAGACAAGCCCATAATATGATGGACTGTTTGAATACTTTTTGTGCAGCATCTGGGGGGAAAATCAATATCAATAAATCTTCTATTTTCTTCTCTCCGAAAGTACATGCTGACTTGAAAGGTAAAATCTGTTCAATAACCAGTATGAAGAATTCTTGTGAGATAGGGAAATATCTTGGATTTCCAATCGCCAGAGGGAGGAGACCGAAAGATACTTTCAGATATATAATTGATAATGTTAGATCTCGCCTGTCAGCCTGGAAGGAAAACTGTCTCACAACTGCTGGTAGAATTGTTTTGGCAAAGTCAGTCATCAGTGCCATTCCACTTTACCCGATGCAAGTGGCGAGAATCCCAAACTCTATCTGCATGGAGGTAGAAAGACTCCAACGGAATTTTATTTGGGGTAGCTCTAACAAGAATCATGGATTCCATCCTATTAGTTGGGAGCAAGTTCTTCGGCCCAAAAACCAAGGAGGGCTCGGCTTTAAGAGACTTACTAGTCTGAATGATGCCTTTGGGGCTAAATTAGCTTGGCAGCTCATAATTGGAACAAAAGGATTGTGGGCCGATGTTTTGTTTAAAAAATACATGATAAGGAATGAATCCAACTTATTGGAAGCACAGAAGAGTGATTCACAACTCTGGAAATTTATTTCTCAGCAGAAGCATATTGTGGACAGGGGATCAAAATGGAATATCAGAAATGGCACATCTGTGAAGTTCTTTACTGATAAGTGGCTTATTCAAGACAAAGTGATAAAAGACTGGAGTCTTAGGCCACTGTCAACAAGGGAAGAAGAGAGTAAAGTTGCTGATTGGGTAGCCTATGGTGCTTGGGATTTTGTAAGACTTTCCACAATCCTCCCTTCTCACGTGTTGCAGCACCTAATAGCCAAATTACCGCCATTGCCCATTGCTGGAGAGGACATTCTATCCTGGAGTGAAACAGCAAGTGGGGAATTTAGTATCAAGAGCGCCTACTATTTGATTGAAGAAGGAAAGGATTCTGCTCGAAATGCTACCTACAAGGCCATATGGAGGTGGGGAGGAATTGAGAGAATAAGAGTCTTTATGTGGATTGCTTATCATGATCGGCTACCGACAAAGGCATGGAGAAGTACATGGACAGCTTCCTCTCCTATTTGTGATCACTGTAATCAGAGCTGTGAAAACACCCTACATATATTACGTGACTGTATCTTTGCTCGAAACCTGTGGGAGCAAATTCTTAATCCTGTGCATTACTCCTCCTTCTTCTCAGCATCCTTAAAAGATTGGTTTGCACTCAATCTGAAAAGGGATCTGGGATCAACAGCTGATGGATCTTGGGATTTAATCTGGGGAGTAACAATTTGGAGACTTTGGAAATGGAGAAATGAGACCATCTTCAACCCAGGTTTTAATAAACCAGTTGAACCAGCTTTCATAATTATGAATAGTTGGAGAAATTATGTGCAGATGGAAAAGGAATACAAAATGGAAATGTGTTGGCGACCACCTGATAGGGATTGGATAAAATTGAATGTGGATGGAGCAGTGTCTTCAACAGCCTTGAGAGCAGGATGTGGGGGTGTTCTGCGCAACCACAATGGTACCTGGCTTGCTGGATTCAAACATTTCTTAGGATCTTGCTCAGTTTTGGAGGCCGAACAATGGGCTATCTACAAAGGCCTGGAATTAGCTTCGAGTATGGGCTTCAAAAAAGTGGTGTTGGAATCTGATGCTTATAATCTCATTCAGGCTTTACAGGGCGAGAACAACGTGATCATGGACAGTCTGCTAATGTTGCGGATAAGAAACCTTTTGGCACTCAGTTGGCAAGTTAAATTGCAGTACATCCCGCGTGAGAGGAACAAAGTAGCGGATTTATTGGCGAAGGAAGGACTAAACAAGTCTGCTTTTTTTGCATTTTTGTCCCCTCATCTAAGCACTTTAGTTGCTACTGAATGTATGGGATTTAATCCCCTCATGAGTAATCTAATATAGTATTCTGGGCTTTGCCCTCTTTCGTATCAAAAAAAAAGAACGGATTAGAATAGAACTGACGGAGATACCCGCTGGGCCCGTGCGCAAATCTGCAGACGAACAAACAGTGCATTCTTTCGTTTTGAAGAACCAGCATCATTAATCCCACACTGATCGACTAGTATTGAGCTGGTGGCAATAAATGCCGAGACCAAGTGTTCATTTTACAGCCGTATCATCTGTAAATGTCAATAACTCCGTGCCACCTTGTTTACTTCTTTTCACTTATTTCGCCACTTGGTCGTATCTCCATTCTGATGGTCCTCGGTACTGCTCTTTATCACTGCTGGACCATGGCAACTTTTTCAATCAGCTGATAGTTTATTGTCTGCATTTGGCTGATGTAATCAGCATGCATTTTGGCGTCTTTCACAAGGAATTTCTTTCCTCAACTCGAGTATTTTTCTGGTAGGAGAACTTGAACGTTCATTGTGCAGAATAGCAGTGGTTTTCTTGGAGCCTCTTGATTGAGAATCCCTTCAAGTGTATTTCTTGCTTTGTTTTTTCCCCCCTAAAAAAAAAAAAAGGAACGTTGCTGAAGGTCTTGCGTGGGTCCACGGTGCAAATAAACTTCAATGTAATGTGAAGAGATACAGATATTGAAATTGTTGTCTACTCCTGCTAATGCAGATGCTTGTTCCTAATTTTATCCACGCATTTGGTCATTGATCCAGAACTTGCGTCCACTACCAGGCTTCCTTCTTTTTTCCTTTTTCTAAACTACTCCTCCGCTTCTTAATATAAGACCTAGTTATTGAGTTGATTTTGGTCCTAAATATAAGACCTATTTATTATATTTATTAATTTTTTCTAAATTACTCCTATGGATACTCCATCAACCATAATCAAATAAAAGAGAAAGGGAGGATATTAAGGAAGATGATTATGGTATTTAAGGAAAAATATATCATATTTCTCATAACTAATTAATATACCTAACTTTGTTAATCTAATCAAATTAGTTAAATAGGTCTTATATTAAAAATCGAAGAGTATTAGTTATTTGGGTTGGGAGATATTAGGGATATGCTCTTTAGGTAACTTCAACTCTCTGATTCGCCTCTTCTGTCAACGCAAACAAGCAAAGGAAGCATAAAGTACACTATATACACATAGGTTCTACAACGCTCAGTGCTGCAGGTTCATAAGATTCAGAATGTAATCATTCAGCACGTAGATTGCTTGGTTTTTATTTCCTCGGGGTCAAAGAGATTAGTTTTGCATTACGTGCAAGTTATATAAAAATCATCACGAGTTCACCTTCCCGAGGCTCAAACAACATTGGTCACCAACCAGCGACGCTGTGTCCCTTTCACAACCTAGCCTGCAACTAAAAAACATTGAAAATTTTGCAGGGTCTGTCAGATTCCTATCATTCGGGGAAAAAAAATATTCTGTGTTCAGTGATTTTATAACTACCAATTGAACTCTGCAGCATCACCAATCTGCTGTCTTCAGAATCTGTTCGAGGTTATGGACTTCTTTAACATTAACAATTCTTCAGAAAGCAAACGTTAGCTATTTCAATTTATGGAATTCCATTCATTGACAAAAAATTTTCCCCTATTCAAACAAGTCAG